GTGGATTTCAACTCCCAGAATTCCTGAGCCGGCATGGGGGAAACTTTGGCCCCCTCATGACTTGTGGACTTCAACTCCCAGAATTCCTGAGCCATCAGGGGGAACTATGGCCCCTTTATGACTGGTGGACTTCAACTTCCAGAATTCCTGAGGGAACTATGGCCTCTTCATGACTCGTGGACTTCAACTCCCAGAATTCCTGAGCCAGCATGGCTCAGCATGGAAACCTCTCCCTTTCCCCTCAGCGTGGCTGGCTCAGGAATTCTGGGAGCTGAAGTCCACAAGTCATAAAAGAGCCAAGCTTGCCTACCCCTGACCTATACAGAGGTTAGTCCTTGATGTACACCCACAACTGAGCTCAACATTTCTCTTGCTAAGCGAGACATTTCTTAAGTGAGATTTGCCCCATTTTGCCACCATTGTTAAGTGAATTGCTGCAGTTATTCAGTTAGTAACAAGTTGTTAAGTGAAACCGGCTCCCCTATTGACTTTACTTGTTCCAAGATTGCAAAAGAGGATCACGAGACTCCAGGACGCTGCAACTGTCATAAATAGGAACCAGTTGCCAACGGTCTAATGTGACAAAAACAATCATAAATCACGCGAAGTGTTAATACCGCTTTACAAGGCCTTGGTAAGGCCACACTTGGAATGCTGCATCCAGTTTTGGTCACCACGATGTAAAAAAGATGCTGAGACTCCAGAAAGAATGCAGAGAAGAGCAACAAAGATGATCAGGGGACTGGAGGCTAAAACGTATGAAGAATGGTTGCTGGAATTGGGTATGTCTGGTCTAATGAAGAGAAGGACGAAGGGTGACATGATAGCCGTGTTCCAGTATCTCAGGGGCTGCCCCAAAGAAGAGAGAGTCAAGCTATTCTCCAAAGCGCCTGAAGGCAGGACAAGAAGGAACGGATGGAAACTAATCAAGGAGAGAAGCAACCTAGAACTAAGGAGAAACTTCCTGACAGGTAGAACAATTAACCAGTGGAACAACCTGCCTCCAGAAGCGGTGAATGCTCCAATACTGGAAGTTTTTAAGAAGAGACTGGACAGCCATTTGTCTGAAATGGCCTAGGGCAGTGGTGGCGAACCCATGGCACGTGTGCCAGAGGTGGGACTCAGACTCTGTGAGCACATGCGCCATGCCCCGGAGATGGCAACTGTCCCTCTTCAACCAGCTGCCTGATAACTCGCTGAGGTCCCATGTGGCCAGATGCATCCCGGCACGGCTGGTTTCCCTCCCCCCAGTCCTGTCCCTCCGGGCCTTGCATAATGTCCTTTTCCCAGGCACGACCCACTGTATCACCTCCTCAGCTGTCAACTGGCCATCCAGCTCAGAGGCGGCTTCTCTGAACTGCTGGCAGAGGGCTGCAGAGCCCCAGAGTGCACGGGTCGAGGGGCCGGCAGGCCGTGGCTGCTGACAGACACCATCGGCCCCCATGCACTTGCTGGCTTTTGTGCGCGGGGGCCAGTGGTGTCAGGCAGCAGTTGCCCTGGCCCTTGCCTTGTCCCATGGCAATGGCACCCCCACCCTGCTTCCCCTCTCCCTGCAGGATGAGCCTTCTACCTACCGCCCCCACCTACCAGAGACCCCCTGGATCTCCCCCAACCATGCTCATCCCCCTACAGGCATCCCTCCCCATGAGCAACATTTTATGTAATCATACCCACCTTGGCCACACCCACCCAATCTGCCATGACCACCACAGCCACGCCCACCAAGTGGGCCACGCCCACCCAGCGATAAATAAGTGGGTTTTGGGTTGCAGTTTGGGCACTCGGTCTCTAAAAGGTTCGCCATCACTGGTCTAGGGTTTCCTGCCTGAGCAGAGGGTTGGACTAGATGACCTCCAAGGTCCCTTCTAACCTTATTATTATTACTTGTTTCAGTGCCGTTGTAACTTTGAACGTTTGCTAAACTGTCGTTAAATCGAGGACTACCTGTAGAGCTTTGAACAGAAAGACTGTTAAGAAAGATGATCAGGGTTCCTCTAACATGTAAATTCTTGTACAACCCGAATTTCCAAAATTGGGTTTGTCTTCTCTCCTACTGATGGATGTTATTCCTCATTTTTTCAATGCACCCGAACTAGAGTGTCAACATCCAGGTCGAGAATCCAAATAAAACTCCGTGTTCAATCTGTCTCCGAAAATCTGTATTGAATAAACTGCCTGGTAATGTCGAAGCAAAACTAACTCTGGGGTCCAACACCAACTCACAGACTTAAACAATAATTTTCCCAACCAAACCCCCAACGTCTTACCTAATCCATATAAACAAGTTCACTTTATTGTGGGAACCATCTGCTTCAAATACGCACCTGTTATGGTGTCCTTGAAAAGGTTTCAAGCTCTCATGGTCTTCGGCGGAATTGTAGAAGTTTCGTTTCTCCATCTAACCCACTTGAAAGTAACACCTCCCCCCCTTACCCTAAAGCAGGGGTGTCAAAAACTGGCGGCCCATGGGCCAGATGCGTTACACGCAGGCCACACCCACTCTGCAAAGGCAAAAAAACATTGCAATGTCACATGATGTGATCGAGCTTGATACCCGTGCTCTAAAGGCAAGTTGAAACGCAGACGTCAATGCTGCTAGCATCGGATGTTTTTTCATTGACAACAGATGGAAATGTACCCATCTTTTACCTTTTGGTTTTAGAGTTAGATGATGCTGGGAGGAGGGGGGATGTGAATGAGAATCCAGCTAGACATAACAACACTAAACCTAGGGTGAGAATCAAGGTTATTGAGCCCAGAGCTGATAAAAAATTGGTGGGCTAGAGAACTGGAGAGGAAGCCCTCGCTTCAAGCTAATTGAGGAATGTGATTTATGACTGTTAATTGGAGGAGGGAATTGTGCTTTGATACTATGTGCTCAGGGGAGGGGAATTCAGTTTTTGGCTTCGATTATGCAGTGCCGATATTATGCTACTCAAAATAAAGGTTCTTAAAGGTAAGTAATGCCTCAAGGTTCTTTTGAAGAGTTTCATCTGTCGGAACCATGACATTAAGCCAAAAGCTGAATTCTCGTCCCCTGAGCACATAGTATCCCTCCTCTAATTAACAGTCATAAATCACATTCCCCAATTAGCTTGAAGCCTGGGCTTCCTCTTCAGTTCTCCAACCCCCAATTCCTTATCAGCTCCAGTTACAATAACCTTGATTCTCACCCTAAGTTTAGTGTTGTTATCGCTAGCTGGACTCTCCTTCACATCCCTCTCTCCCAGCATCATCTAACTCTAAAAGCAAAAGGTAAAAGATGGCTACGTTTCCCTCTGTTGTCAATGCAAAAACATCCGATGTTAGCAGCGTTGACAGCAGAGGAACGGAGCTGCCAAAATTTCATCTTTGACATACAGTTCCAGTGCCTAGCATAAGTCTCAGGAGTGCCCCATCAGCTTGCCCTCCTGAAACCTACTGTAGCTTGCTCAAAATCTGCTCAAGCTGGCATCAATATGTCTTTTTCACACAGTCCTGGAGAAAACTAACAGTGTTTCATTCGCTTCTCTTTCTACCATATGGTTTCAATTTATTTTATTTCCTGGGGTTTGTTTGTTTTTTAAGGAAAGCTTTGGGTTTCTTTTTGTTATTTTTGATTTCTGCCTGCAGCACAGGTTGTCCTCGACTTACAACCACTCGTTTAGGGACCATTCAGTTAACACGGCGTTGAAAAAGTTCCCTATATCCAGTTCTCACATTTACGACCATCACTGCATCCCAAGCGACATAAGATCGAAATCGGGACACTTGGCAACTACCATGTATTTATTATGACAGTTATAGTGTCATGTGATCGCCATTTGCAACTTTCCCAGAGGGCTTTGGACACGCATGGGGAAAGCCGGATTCGCTTAATCATGACCTGATTCACTTAACGACCGCAATGAATTACCGTGGCAAAAAAGGTTGAAAAATTGGATGTGACTCACTTAACAACTTGCTTAGCAATGGAAATTTGGGTTCCTATTGGGGTCATAAGTGGAGGACTTCCCGTCTTTAAGAGCAAATCAGGGAACAGACAAATTTAATTCCCTGGTTAAATTTTAACTCAGATACAAAATTACAGGAAGTCCTTGATTTATGACTACAATTAGGATGGGAATGTCTATTGCTAAACAATGTGGTCATTAAATTAGTCGCACCCAATTTTATGAGGGTTGCCACAGTTGTTAAATGAATCACGCAATCATTAAGCAAATCAAATTTGCCTCATTGATTTTGCTTGGAACCTGGGAAGATGTTTATGAAGATCACATGACCCAGAACACCACAACTGTCATACGTGTATGTCAAGCACGTACCTTGAAGCATGTTGGCTGGGGAATTCTGGGAGTGGAAGTCCCCCCCTTAAAGCAGGCTGGCTGGGGGATTCTGGGAATGGAAGCCCCCCCCCTCTTAAAGCACACTGGCTGGGGAATTCTGGGAGTTGCCCACCCATCTTAAAGCAGGCTGGCTGGGGAATTCTGGGAGTGGAAGTCCACCCATCTTAAAGCAGGCTGGCTGGGGAATTCTGGGAGCTGAAGTCCCCCCATCTTAAAGCAGGCTGGCTGGGGAATTCTGGGAGTGGAAGTCCCCCCCCCCTAAAGCAGGCTGGCTGGGGGATTCTGGGAGTGGAAGTCCCCTCCTCTTAAAGCACACTGGTTAGGGAATTCTGGGAGTTGCCCACCCATCTTAAAGCAGGCTGGCTGGGGAATTCTGGGAGCGGAAGTCCACCCATCTTAAAGCATGCTGGAGAATTCTGGGAGCTGAAGTCCTCCCATCTTAAAGCAGGCTGGCTGGGGAATTCTGGGAGTTGAAGTGTCACCCACATTAAAATTGCCAAGCCTGAAAAACACTGATTTACTGCATAGTCGGTCCTTCTAGACACCTGGTGCCTTTGTGATATATCACGCTCCCCTCCCCTTTGCCAGTTTCAGCCACCACACAGGAAAAGGAAAGAAAAGAAAAAAAGGAAAGGAAAGAAGGAAAGATAAGAAAAAGAAAACAGGAGCCAAGCATTTAGCCAGCCGAGTGTCAGTTTATCTTTTGGGTCTCAAGAAAGTCCTTCGATGTTTTCGATGGATCCTTCGGATTCACTGAAACTTTCTTCAGCTCCCCCTTTCATCTCAATGTTCCCGTGATGGGCACAGTTCGGCTGCCCCCTGGAAGGACAGAGAAGTCTGTGTCAATTGCAAAAGATTTTACAAGGAGAAGGACGCAGCAAGTGTCAGGCCTGAATAATTTATCAAAGAGTTGGACTAGACCCGGGGTAGGCCACTTTGGCTTTTATGACTCGTGGACTTCAACTCCCAGAATTCCTGAGCCAGCACGGCTCAGCATGGAAACTTCTCCATTTCTCCTCAGCAGGGCTGGCTCAGGGATTCTGGGAGTTGAAGTCCACGAGTCATAAAAGAGCCAAGGTTGCCTACCTCTGGCCTAGGCTGCTTTTTGACTCGTGGACTTCAACTCCCAGAATTCCTGAGCCAGCACGGCTCAGCATGGAAACTTCTCCATTTCTCCTCAGCAGGGCTGGCTCAGGGATTCTGGGAGTTGAAGTCCACGAGTCATAAAAGAGCCAAGGTTGCCTACCTCTGGCCTAGGCTGCTTTTTGACTCGTGGACTTCAACTCCCAGAATTCCTGAGCCAGCACGGCTCAGCATGGAAACTTCTCCATTTCTCCTCAGCAGGGCTGGCTCAGGGATTCTGGGAGTTGAAGTCCACGAGTCATAAAAGAGCCAAGGTTCCCTCCCCCTGGCCTAGATCAGTAGTAGGCCACCTTGGCTCTTTTATGACTCGTGGACTTCAACTCCCAGAATTCCTGAGCCAGCATGGCTCAGCTTGGAAACCTCTCCCTTTTCCCACAGCGTGGCTGGCTCAGAAATTCTGGAAGTTGAAGTCCACGAGTCATAAAAGAGCCAAGCTTGCCTACCCCTAGGCCTAGGCCGCTTTATGACTCGTGGACTTCAACTCCCAGAATTCCTGAGCCAGCCTGGCTCAGCTTGGAAACCTCTCCCTTTCCCCTCAGCATGGCTGGCTCAGGAATTCTGGGAATTGACGTCCACGAGTCATAAAAGAGCCAAAGTGGCCTACCCCTGGACTGGAACAAATCATTTTTCCTTGGCTCCAAGGAAGAATCAGAACACAGAATATACAGGTAGTCCCCGACTTACGACCACAACGGACCCCAAAATTTATGCTGCTCAGCAAGGGGTTGCTAAGTGAGTTTTGCCCCGTTTTACAACCCGCCTTGCCACAGTTGTGAAGTGAATCGCTGCAGTTGTTAAGTCATCAACACACAGTTGTTGAGTGAATCTGGCTTCCCCATTGCCTTTGCTTGTCAGGTGGTCGCAAAAGGGATCACGCAACTCTGGGACACTGAAACTGTCACAAGTACATGCCAGTTGCCAAGCATCCGAATTTTGATCATGTGACCATGCACATGCTGCAATGGTCGTAAGTGTGAAGAACAGCATGCTGGCTGGGGAATTCTGGGAGTGGAAGTCCACCCATCTTAAAGCACCCTGGCTGGGGGATTCTGAGAGTGAAGTCCCCCCCCCTTAGAGCAGGCTGGCTGGGGGATTCTGGGAGTGGAAGTCCAGCCCTCTTAAAGCACCCTGGCTGGGGATTCTGGGAGTTGAAATCCCCCTCTCTTAAAGCAGGCTGGCTGGGGGATTCTGGGAATGGAAGTCCCCCCCCCCTCTTAAAGCAGGCTGGCTAGGGGACTTCTAGGAGTGGAAGTCCATCCCTCTTAAAGCATTTCGGCTGGGGAATTCTGGGAGTGGAAGTCCACCCCTCTTAAGGCATGGCTGGCAGGGGAATTCTGGGACTTGAAGTCCAGTCCTCTTAAAGTCCTTTAGCTGTTTCCACCCACAAAAGCATTGGAGGAGAGACTAATGCTATGGGCATGACCCATCACCCCCTTCACCTCTGGATGGCATCTGGCACGTTCTTATTTATGTCGTGGCTATCGGCAGTCGGACAGAGAAGCTCCTCCAACGCTCTGTCCAGGCTTGAGTTAGCTCTGCCAAAAAGAAAAAAAAAAGGGAAGAAAAAGACCATTAGCAAGGACAACCACAGTTCCACTGCCTGGCAGAGAGAGAGAGAGACAGACAATCGGTTGTTGTGCCGTTGTCATCTGCACACCCCTCCAGCTGACTGCCTGGATAAACCCATCCAGTGTGATCTGCTAACCTGCCTGTTTTGACAGGCTTAATCTAAACGGGCAGCAGGCACAGATTGTGCCTGGCAGGGAATCCTCCAGTGTTAATAACAGAACAACAGAGTTGTGGAAGGGACCTCGGAGGTCATCTAGTCCCACCCACCCCTCTGCTGAAGCAGTGGACCCTCTAGCATTTCAGACAAACGCTGGTCCAATCTCTTCTTAAAAACCTCCGGGGTTAATAACAGAATAACAGAGTTATAGAAAGGACCCTGGAGGTCATCTAGTCCAACCCACCGCTCAAGCAGTGTACCCTTTCTTCAGCTTCGTTGGAACTCTGAACAGATGCTAAAGCAGTGGTTCTCAACCTTTTTAATGCCGCGACCCCCAACCGGTCGTAAGTCAAGAACTACTCAACCGGTCGTAAGTTGAGGACTACTCAACTGGTGCAGCACCGTTTGCAGAATGGGACTTTTGGCGGGCTCAGCAGGGCAGAGACAGCCTGGACAATTCCTATTGGCTTTTGAAAGCCAATAGAATTAGACTCTATGCAAGAGAGTCTATTCTATTGGCTTCCAAAAGCCAATAGAATAAAAGGGAGTAGCACAATTAAGGAAAAGGGGGGGAAAAATGGCGGACTGCGTTGTTTGGTGACCCCCGTGAAATGGTCGTTCGACCCCAAATGGGGTCCCGACCCACAGGTTGAGAACCACTGCTCTAGCATTTCAGACAATCTCTTCTTTAAAACCTCCGGCGTTAACAACAGAGTTGTGGAAGGGACCTCGGAGGTCATCTAGTCCCACCCACCCCCCCCCTGCTCAAGCAGCGGACCCTCTAGCATTTCAGACAAACGGTGGTCCAATCTCTTCTTAAAAACCTCCGGCGTTAATAACAGAATAACAAGAGTTATAGAAGGGACCCTGGAGGTCATCTAGTCCAACCCACCGCTCAAGCAGCATACCCTGTCTTCAGCTTCGCTGGAACTCTGAACAGATGCTAAAGGAACAGTTGCAAGTCAAGGACTATCCTTTTATAATAATTTTAATAAATAATAAATGAATGAATTTGGGGGTTGTGTTTTCTTTTTTTTTGACATCTACCCATGGAACCCCTACAAAAAAATAATAATAATAACATCCTTTCTTTCCTGCCATTTCAAGAGGCTGGCAATACCTTTCTGTATCTTCTCCCTGACAGACGCTGTCCCTGAACCACAGGCTGTCCTCCGTTTGGCTCCCGTTGGTCCTTTCCTTTTCTTCCGGCTTCCCTGGTTTTTGGGAATCCAGTGGATCAAGATCTGCTGACGAAAACAGAGCAGCTGCCAAAAAAGCCAACACAGTGCTAGGCTGCGTTAACAGAGGGATAGAATCAAGATCACGTGAAGGGTTAATATCACTTTACAAGGCCTTGGTAAGGCCACACTTGGAATACGGCATCCAGTTTTGGTCAGCACAATGTCAAAAAGATGTTGAGACTCTAGAAAGAGTGCAGAGAAGAGCAACAAGGATGATTAGGGGGCTGGAGGCTAAAAGATATAAGGAACGGTTGCTGGAATTGGGTATGTCTAGTTTAACGAAGAGAAGGACGAGGGGGGACATGATAGCAGGGTTCCAGTATCTCAGGGGCTGCCCCAAAGAAGAGGGAGTCAAGCTATTCTCCAAAGCGCCTGAAGGCAGGACAAGAAGCAATGGATGGAAATTAATCCAGGAGAGAAGCAACCTAGAACTAAGGAGAAACTTCCTGACAGTTAGAACAATTAACCAGTGGAACAACCTGCCTCCAGAAGCAGTGAATGCTCCAACACTGGAAGTTTTTAAGAAGAGACTGGACAGCCATTTGTCCGAAATGGTATAGGGTAGACATGTCAAACTCAAGGCCTGGGGGCCGGATGCGGCCCGCGAAGTGGTTTCATGTGGCCCGTGAAGCCATCCTGGAAACAGTGAGGGAACAGCCCCCGCTGCCTTGGCCCTGGCCGGCCAGGAGCCAATGTACAATTTTGTGGTGGCCATCTATGCTGAAATGCATTCAGTCTTAGCTCCATAAGCCCCCACCCCCACATGGCCTGAGAGGAACAGTGAGGTTCCTCCAGTGGACCATGCCTTGGCCCTTGCCCCGGTCCCACCCCCTCCTGCCAGAGACCCTCAGATCTGTCCCACACCTGCCCAGGCCCCCACAGGCACCCTTGACGCGAACGATGTAGAGTTGGCCACGCCCACCCAGTAGGCCACACCCACTCCATCCACGCCCACCCAGTAGGCCGCACCCACCCTGGCCACACCCACCCGGCCCCGAGGGCAACCGCAATGCTGATGCGGCCCTCAATGAAATTGAGTTTGACACCCCTGGTATAGGATTTCCTGCCTGAGCAGCGGGTTGGACTAGATGACCTCCAAGGTCCCTTCCAACATTATCATTATTATTATTGGTCAATTTGGAAGCATATTCGGGCAGATTTTCAAACTAATTTTCATTCCTTGGTCTGTTTCATTCAATTTCTTTGTAACTTGCCTGTATTATTTTTTACAAATAACTCAAAGGTGGCCAATATTTCCAACAGATCTTCCTCCTCCTAGTCTCCCCCAAACAACAACCCTATGAGGTGGGAGTGGCCCAAAGTCACCCAGCTAGCTTTCATACCCAAGGAAGCTCTACAACTCACTGTCTCCTGGTGATTGGCCCAACGTCGGCCAGCCGGTTTTCATGCCTAAGGCGGGACTAGAACTCACAGTCTTTTGGTGATTGGCCCAAAGTCCCCTGGCTGGCTTTCATGCCTAAGGCGGGACTAGAACTCACTGTCTCCTGGTGATTGGCCCCAAATCACCCAGCTGGATTTCATGTCTAAGGCGGGATTAGAACTAGTGATTGGCTCAAAGTCAGCCAGCTGGCTTTCACTGCTAAGGCATGGCTAGAACTCACCATCTCCTGATTCATTGGCCCAAAGTCACCCAGGCAACTTTTCTACCTAAAGCGGGACTGGAACTCACCACCTCTTGGTGACTGGGCCAAAGTCAGCCAGCCGGTTTTCATTCCTAAGGCGGGACTAGAACTCACCGTCTCCTGGTTGATTGGCCCAAAGTCACCCAGGCAACTTTCCTACCTAAAGCGGAACTGGAACTCACCACCTCCTGGTGACTGGGCCAAAGTTACCAAGCCAGTTTTCAGCTCTAAGGAGGAACTAGAACTCACAGTCTGTAGCCTGGCGCCTTAACCACTAGACCAAACTGTCTCTGAGGGGAAGAAAACCCCAGAACAGCTGTGCAACAGCTGTAGGGCTGCATATCACTAAACCCAGCTTGGGAAGTTCAAAGGTCCCTTCCATTATGATTATTATTATCCCTTCTATTATTATTATTACTGATCATGGCACAGTCAGCCAGATGTTCAGACTGGATTTGGCATTTTGTCTACCTATTGAGTCCTTACCCAGGACCTGGGATAGGCAGATGTGGATGTTTGATGGTATTACAGATCCCGTCGCAGGATGGAAGCGGTTCCTAGTAAGGCTGCCTTTTGCAATTGACTAATAGCGGATTTGTCAATGCCAATGGTGTTCAAGTGATGCTCCAGTTGTTTTGGGATTGCACCCAAGGAGCCTATGACTATTGGTACTACCCTTGCTTACCCAGTCTTTCTATTTCTATTTGTAGGTCTTTGTATTTTGTTATCTTCTCCAGTTCTTTCTCGTCTATTCTGCTGTCTCCAGGCACTGCCACGTCCACTATCCAGACTTTTTTGTCTTTCTTATCGACAATTGTTAAGTCCGGGGTATTATGTTGCAGGTTCTTGTCTGTATTTGTATTATTATTATTATTGTGTGATCAAAATTCAGATACTTGGCAACTGGCTCATACATGACGGTCGCAGTGTCCCGGGGTCACTTGATTCCCCTTCTAACAAGCAAAGTCAATGGGAAACCCAGATCCACTTAACAACTCCGTTACTAAGTTAACAACTGCAGCTATTTGATAAGATAAGATAAAGTAAGGTAAGATAAGATAATCTTTATTGTCATTTTTTTTTACTGTGGGCACAACGGCACACAACAAAAAATGAAATTTGCTTAACACATGTGGCAGGAAAGGTGATAAAATGGGGCAAACCTCACATATCAGCTTAGCCACAGAAATTCTGGGCTCTAATCTGAGGACTATCTGCACATAAAACCTACTAGTTAGTGTAACAGCATACTAGGGTGTGATTAAAACACGCAGCACCATTGCCCACCAGGGCTTTTAATGTGAAAGCCGAGAGTCTGCGGCAGCAAGTTAAAAATAGAAGCCCCCAAAAGACAAAAACGGTATAATAACTAAATGATTAAAATTAAATGGCCATCCTTAGGTGTACATAAAAAGATTGGAACTTGCTTCTGGTTCATTATTTATTCATCATCATTATGTCAGACACAATTAAAATAGAAAGGGTAAAATAGAAACTAAACACAGTTCCCACTCCTCCTGCATCTGTTATCTACTGGTGGATTCAACAGTACAAAACGTTGGAAAAACCCTGCAACTGAATAATACAGGCAATCCTCGAATTACAACAATCCATTTAGTGACCATTCAAAGTCACAATGGCATTGAAAAAAAAGGACTTATGACCGTTTTTCACACTTACGACCGTTGCAGCATCTCCGTGGTCACATGATTAAAATTCAGAGGCACGGAGACTGACTCATATTTATGACGGTTGCAGCGTCCCGAGGATCCTGTGATCCCCTTTTGCGACCTGACAAGTAAAGTCAATTGGGGGAAAGCCACATTCGCTTAACGACCGTGTGATTAGCTTAACGACTGCCGTGATTCACTTAACAACGGTGGAGCAAAGATCACTTAACTTTCTTGCTTAGCAATGGAAACTTCGCACTCAGTGGCAATCCTAGATCAAGAACGACCTGCACGCAAGAGTTTTTAATGCTAAAATATAAATATTAAATATTAATATTAAAACTGATTTTCTGCGGTATGAGGTAAAAACAGAATCCCCAAAGACAAAGCAATATCACAACAAAATGATTTAAAATTAAGCTGCAGTAGTTACGTGTACATAAAAAGATTGGAATTGCTTCTGGTATATTATTTATTCACCATCATTATGTCAGACATAATTAAAATATAAAGGGCAGAACACAAACTAAATACAATTCCCATTTTTAGTGCAGTGGTATTTGCTGACGGATTCAGGCTGCAGCCGTCCAAAACTTTTGAAAGGCAGACAAAGATCCTGCAACATGTGGCTCTTAAACCTGAACTTTTTTATTAGGTATAATGCCAGAAAAGACTAACATACAAAGCCTGTCTTTGATTCTGCATGTCGCAAGAGCGGCAAGAATCTTATTTGCACAATATTGGGAAAACGAAGGAATACCATCAGATGAAGAAATAATAATAATAATAAATACTAGAATGGGCAGAGATGGACAGATGAGACTATGAGACTGAAAGAAAAAGAAGGAACAGAATATTACCAAACTTGGGACTTATTTTATCGATGGCTGGAGGAAAGAATAAAGGATTAAATATATATTAGTGAATGTTAAACTCAGACAGCACGTCAGTTGAAAAATTATTACTGTATGTACAGGAAAAAAATTAATAAAAACTTTGGAGGGAAAAACAAGATCCTGCAATTTAATAATACAGATAGTTCTCAACTTATAGTTGTTCATTTAGTGACCGTTCGGAGTTACTAATGGTCCTGAAAAAAGGGACTTAGGACTGCTTTTCACACTTTGCGACCGTTGTATCACGAGATCAAAATTCACTCGCTTGGCAACTGGCTCATATTTATGATGGTCACAGCATCCCGGGGTCACGTGATCCCCTTTTGCGACCTTCTGGCGAGCCGAGTCAAGGGGGGGAAGCCAGATTCACATAACAATCGTGTGACTCACTTAATGACGGCAATTCACTTAACGATGGCGGCAAGAAAGGTCATAAAACAGGGCAAAAACTCACTGAAAAACTGCCTTGCTTAGCTTGGCAACAGAAATTTGGGGCTCCCTTGCGGTCTTAAGTCGAGGACTATCCGTAGGTATCTGTTAGGACATGTTTGTAGGACCACCCTACCTTTCTTGGGTGGATGTTGCTGAGCAGAAGGAATCTCCTTCCCCGATTCCGCCCGATTTGTCGAGATGGGCAGCCAAAGATCACCGTCCTGAAAAACATGCAAGTGCAGAGTTAAAGTTTGAGGTGAGCTGGGAAAACAGGGAGAGTGGTTAGAGGCAAGGCTTGAATTGCTTTCTCCAGCCGGGTGCCCTCCGATGTTTGGGGCTTCAGCTTCCATTATGGAGCCAAACTGATCTCTGTGGGATGTCTTGACACATTGAAGCAGGGTTGGGCTCTGAATCTCCATCCTGGCCCTCAGTTTTTTCAACACTGGAGTTGGCTTGGCTAGGGAGGAAGGTTTGGACAACCATTTGTCTGAGCAGGGGCTGGACTAGATGACATCCAGGATCCCTTCCAACTCTGTTGTTCTATTCTATTCTATTCTATTCTATTCTATTCTATTCTATTCTATTCTATTCTTGTTTTTTCCATTCCATTCCATATTCTATTCCAATTTCTATTCTATTCCTATTCTATTCTATTTTATATTTTCTATTCTATATTTTCTACTCTATTCTATTCTTGTAGTTTTTTCTTTCCATTCGATATTCTAGTCCAATTTCTATTCTATTCCCATTCTACTCTATATTTTCTATTCTATATTTTCTATTCTATATTTTCTATTCTATATTTTCTATTCTATTCTATTCTGTTCTATTCTATTCTATTCTTGTTGTTTTTTCATTCCATTCCATATTCTATTCCAATTTCTATTCTATTCCCATTCTACTCTATATTTTCTATTCTAAATTTTCTATTCTATTTTATTCTATTCTATTCTATTCTATTTTATTCTATTCTTGTTGTTTTTCCATTCCATTCCATATTCTATTCCAATTTCTATTCTATTCTATTTTATTCTATTCTATATTTTCTATTCTATTCTATTCTATTCCTGTTGTTTTTTCCATTCCATTCCATTCCATGTTCTATTCTCTTCTATTCCTATTCTATTCTTATTCCCATTCCATTCTATGAGAGGAGGAAGTATACAGTGTCACATGGGAGGGAGAGTAGAACCAAAGAAGAAAAAGGAGAAAAAGAAGAGGAAGAGTAGCAAGTGGAGGAGAGGAAGGGGAAGAAAAAAGAGAAGGAAAAAGGAGAAAAAGGAGAAGAGGAAGATGAGATGGAGGAGGAGGGGGTAAGGAAAAGAAGAAGAGAAGAAGTATAAGGAGGTATAAGGAGGGAAGAAGAGAAAGAAGAAAAAGAAAAAAAGGAGAAGAAAGAGGAGAAAAAAGAGAAGAAGGGAAGGAGAGAAGAAAAAGAAGAAGAGAAGAAGAAAAAAGGAGAAGAGGAAGAAGAGAAGGAAAAGGAGGAGGAGAGGAAGAGGAGAATGAGGATAAGAACAAAAAACGAAAGGAGGAGGAGGAGAAAAAGGGAAGAAAATAATGAGGAAAAAAAGGGAGGGGAGGAGATGGAGAAGGAAAAGAAGAAGAGGAGAAGGAGGAGGAGAGGAAGAAGAATTCTGCAGGAGGTCAGGAGAACCTTCTAGATTACTAATCTCCGCACAAACCAGATCTATTTCCCATCTGAAATCCCTCTTTCTTCAAGAATAACTCCAGTCTGGCTTCGGCCTGTCTTAAATGGGAGACTGTACTGAGGACACATACATACTCCTCAAGGCAAGGGTGTATGTTTGTGCATATCTCTCTCTCTCTCTCTCTCTCTCTCTCTCTCTCTCTCTCTCTCTCTCTCTCTCTCTCTCTCTCTGTGTGTGTGTGTGTGTGTGTGTGCCTGTGCCCAGAGCAAGACAATTGCCTGCCACTGGGAACTTACCTGCCTGCCCGGCAAACTGCTCCTCTTTGAAAAACCGTCCTTGCTGTGGGACCAAGAGGGCTCCTAAGGAGTCAAGGTGGGATTTGCAATTGTGCGTGGTTGTAAACTTTTATTTCCCTGGGCTTAAAAAAAACAAACACACACACACACACAACTCCCCCACAAAAGGCTGCCAGCAGGTTCAATCTTGTTCTTTCCCTGGAGTGTATTTCGCCTGTGGCGGTTAAAAAGCCTAAGTGCTCGGTAACTGATAAAATAGCTACTAATGGAAAGAATATCGTGCAATTACCTTTTATCCCCATGTCTGGGAGCTGAGTGCTTCAAAAAAGGTTATTTAACTAACCCAAGGCTGTTTGCTGAGTGTGTGTGTGTGTGTGCGCGTGAACCTCCTTTCAAGGCAGGATGAGAAGCAACGGATGGAAACTAACCAAAGAGAGAAGCAACATAGAACTAAGGAGAAATTTCCTGACAGTGAGAGCAATTAACCAGTGGAACAACCTGCCTCCAGAAGCGGTGAATGCTCCAACACTGGAAGTTTTTAACAAGAAACTGGACAGCCATTTGTCTGAAATGGTGTAGGATTTCCTGCCTGAGCAGGGGGTTGGACTAGATGACCTCGCAGGTCCCTTCCAACTCTGTTATTCTGATTCATACCAAATTCCTATTGATTCTGATGGCTGAAACAAATAACATCCCTAGAATTTAAAGACAGACTATACTGGAGTTATCTTCAATTAAATTCTGCCAAGAGTGCAGCCAGTACAAAATGACCCAAGGAAACACTTTGAATGAGGCCATTATATGCAGAGTTTGAAACAAAATCCATTTTCAGTTTCATGCGCATCCCTAATGCACAAATCTCAGGAGCACCCAGCGCTCCGACTGATTCCTGGTGGGAATGTTTTGGTGGCCACATGTAAAAACGATGTTGAGACTCTAGAAAGAGTGCAGAGAAAAGCAACAAAGATGATTAGGGGGCTGGAGGCTAAAACATAGAAGGAACGGTTGCTGGAATTGTGTATGTCTAGTTTAATGAAGAGAAGGACAAGGGGGGACAGGATAGCAGTGTTCCAATATCTCAAGGAGTCAAGCTATTATCCAAAGCGCCTGAAGGCAGGACAAGAAGCAACAGATGGAAACTCATCAAGGAGAAAAGCAACCTAGAACTAAGGAGAAACTTCCTGACAGTGAGAACAATTAATCAGTGGAACAGCCTGCCTCCAGAAGCGGTGAATGCTCTCCAACACTGGAAGTTTTTAAGAGACCGGACAACCCATTTGTCTGAAATGGTATAGGGTTTCCTGCCTGAGCAGGGGGTTGGACTAGATGACCTCCAAGGTCCCTTCCAACTTTATTATTATTATTATCGATCATTGCACAGTCAGCCAGATGTTCAGACTGAATTTGGCATTTTGTCTACCTATCAAGTCCTTACCCAGGACCTGGGATAGGCAGATGTGGATGTTTGATGGTATTACAGGTATCGTCGCAGGATGGAAGCAGTTCCTAGTAAGGCTGCCTTTTGCAATTGACTGATAGCGAATTTGTCAATGCCAATTGTGTTCAAGTGGTGCTCCAGTTGTTTTGGGACTGCACCCAAGGAGCCTATGACTATTGGTACTACCCTTGCTTGCTTTTGCCACAGTCTTTCTATTTCTATTTGTAGGTCTTTGTATTTTGTTATCTTCTCCAGTTCTTTCTCTTCTATTCTGCTACTACTACTACTACTATTATTATTATTATTATTATTATTATTATTATTATTATTATTAATCAAGGAGAGGAGCAACCTAGAACTAAGGAGAAACTTCCTGACAGTTAGAACAATTAATCAGTGGAATAACCTGCCTCCAAAAGCTATGAATGCTCCAACACTGGAAGATTTAAGAAGAGACTGGACAGCCATTTGTCTGAAATGGTAAAGGATTTCCTGCCTGAGCAGGGGGTTAGACTAGAAGACCTCCAAGGTCCCTTCTAACTGTTCTTCTTTTCTTCTATAACTTGTGTTTCCCAGCAGTCTATTGACGAGACTTTGTAACACAATCTTTGTTATATATACACACACACACATACACACCCAACCCTTACTTCTTTCCCTGCCAACAAACCTCTGGCAGAGGTGATGTTCAGTATTGACTGTTACTACCAAGAGGGGAGAGGCTTATTAAGAAGAGATTGGATAGCCATTTGTCTGGATAGCTGGGGGGCTGGACTAGAAGACCTCCAAGGTCCCTTCCAACTCTATTAGTCTATGTTATTCTACAGTTTCTCCCAGGAGTCTGTCTGGATCTCAGGCAAACATGCCCACTCCTTTCTAGGGCGGGAGGAGCAGTCTCTTGAGAACCTAAATTCTTTCAATAATTTATCCTTCCTTTCTAGCAGAGCTGTATTTTCCGGGCTGGGGCTCTGAGGAGGCCATCGCAGGCCAGATGAAACTGCAGCTCCTAATGAGCTGATTAAGCATCGCCTGGCTGAGTTGTCAATCCGAAGAGGATGGGGTTGACTAGGGGCAACGGCTGACATCTCCTTCCTTGGTCTACAGATCCTCTTAATTATTCTTCCCCTGCAGAGTGCAGTGGAGATGGCAAAGGATAGGATAGGATAGGGTAGGGTAGGGTAGGGTAAGGTAGCGTAGGGTAGGGTAGGATAATGAAATAATGGAATAGAATAGAATAATGAATGAAATGAAATGAATGGAGTAGAGTAGAATAAAATAGAAGTAGATTAGATTAGATTAGATTAGATTAGATTAGATTAAAGTGGAATAATAGAATGGAATGGAAAAGGTAGAGTACGGTAGGATAATGAAAGAATAGAATAGAATAGAATAGAATAGAATAGAATAGAATAGAATAGAATAGAATAGAATAGAGTAGAGTAGAGTAGAGTAGAGTAGAGTAGAGTAGAGTAGAGTGGAATAATGGAATGGAATGGAAAGGGTAGGGTATGGTAGAATAATAATAGAATAGAATAGAATAGAATAGAATAGAATAGAATAGAATAGAATAGAATAGAATAGAATAATGAATGAAATGAAATGAATGGAATGGAATGGAGTAGAGCAGAATAGAATAATATTAGAATAGAATAGAATAATATTAGAATATAATAGAATAATGAAATGGAATCGAATCAAATAGAATATAGAATAGAATTCTTTATTGGATAAGTATGTTTGGACACACAAGGAATTTGTCTCTGGGGCAGAAGCTCAGTGTATGTAAAGCAACAAGTGATATATCATGATCATAATCATAAAATACAACCATCATAAATCATGATACAATACTCAGCGATAGTCATAGGATACTAAATAAGCAATCAACCTATACTAGGGCAACAATAAAAGCAATCAACATAAATAATAAGATACAAACCATAAAGTTACAGTCATAGGAAGGTAAGGAAATAGGTAATAGGAAAGGGGAGAAGGAGAGTAGTAATACAGCCTTACTAGGTGCTTTGACATCCCAGGGTGAGAGTTGCTGAGAAACGGAATGGCAGGCTAGATAACCCTGAAGAACAGCGGGAGGGACAGGAGGAAAATTAAGGGGAGGGAAGCTAAGCTTGCTAAATCCACCAAATACAGGTAATCCTTTACTTACAACCATTTAGTGACCGTTCAAAGTTACCACGGCACTGAAAAAAGTGATCGATGACCATTTTTCACACTTACGACCGTTGCAGCCTCCCCAGGGTCATGTGATCAAAATTCGGACGCTTGGCAACTGGCATGTACTTATGACAGTTGCAGTGTCCTGAGGTCACGTGATCCCCTTTGGCAACCTTCGGACAAGCACAACAGTCAACGGGGAAGCGGGATTCCCTTAACAACCACGTTAAGCGACTTGCTTAGCAACTGTGGCAAGAAAGGTCACAAAATGGGGGGAAACTCACAACCGTCTCGCTTAGCGATGGAAATCTGGAGGTCAACTGTGGTCGTAAATCGAGGACTTCCTGTAAAGAAAGGCGAGGCCTGGTTGTGCCTCCCAAACGCTGAGGTTCCTCAAGCTGAATGCTTTGCAGAACAGGAAGCTGAATCCCTTTGAGGAGGGGTAGGCAACCTCGGCTCTTTTATGAGTCGTAGGTTTCAACTCCCAGAATTCCTCAGCCAGCCATGCTGAGGGGAAAGGGAGAGGTTTCCAAGCTGAGCTATGCCGGCTCAGGAATTCTGGGACTCATAAAGCGTCCTAGGCCTAGGCCAGAGGTAGGCAACCTTGGCTCTTTTATGACTCGTGGACTTCAACTCCCAGAATTCCTGAGCCAGCCATGCTGAGGGGAAAGGGAGAAGTTTCCATGCTGAGCCATGCCGGCTCAGGAATTCTGGGAGTTGGAAGTCCGCAAGTCATAAAAGAGCCAAGGTTGCCTACCTCTGGTCTAGGCCAGGGATGGGGAACCTTGGCTCTTTTATGACTCGTGCACTTCAACTCCCAGAATTCCTGAGCCAGCCATGCTGAGGGGAAAGGAAGAGGTTTCCAAGCTGAGCCAGGCTGGCTCAGGAATTCTAGGAGTTGAAGTCCACGAGTCATAAAAGAGCCAAGGTTGTGTATCCCTGCCTTTGAGTGTACTGTGGTTTGTGTCATATACTTTAAGACAGGGATCCCCAATCCCCGATCCGTGGACCAGTACCAGACAGGACATGCCAGCAACCGGTCCGCACTAACAATCAAAGCCTCATCCACCGGATGCAGGCAGGACACAAAACCACGCACTCTCAGGTCTGCAGAAAAACCTCTCTCCACCAAACCAGTCCCTGGTGCCCAAAAGGTTGGGGACCTCTACTTTAAGATTCAAACTGGATATTCTTGTGTGCTGGTTTGCCATTGCCTGCTTCCTAGGGCTGAGAGAGGAGGACTGGCCCAAAACCACCCAACAGACTTTGGTTCCTAAGGCAGTGCTAGAACTCACGGTCACCTGGTAATTGGCCCAAAGTCACCCAGCTGACTTGGGGTCAATCACGTGGGAGTCAGGGAATTCTAGTTTTGTCTTAGACATGAAAGGCGACGAGGTGACTTTCAGCCAATCGCCAGGAGAGGGTGAGTTCCAGTCTCGCCTTAGCCAGGAAAGCCTGCTCGTGCTGTTAAGTTTATCTTCCATCCTTTTAAGGTCCAAACTGGGCTGAGGCTGAGAGAGAAGGACTGGCCCAAAAATCACCCGACTGACTTTCGTTCCTAAGGCAGTGCTAGAACTCACTGTCACCTGGTAATTGTCCCAAAGTCACACAGCTGACTTGGAGTCAATCACTTAGAGTTGGGGAATTCCAGTTCTATCTTAGGCATGAAAGCTGACTAGGAGACTTTGGGCCATTCACCAGGAGACGGTGAGTTCTAGTCCCGCCTTAGGCACAAAAGCCAGCTGGGAGACTTTGGGCCAATCACTAGGAGATGGTAAGTTCTAATTCTGCTTTAAGCACGAAAGCTGGCTGGGTGATTTGGACCAGCCCCTCTCTCTTAGTCCTAAGAAGCAGACAATGGCAAACTGCTTCTGAAAAACCTTGCCCCAAAAAGCTGCAAAGGATCAGCCCAGGCAGTGGCCGGGAGTGAAAAACTGACGTCACTCATACCCCAAAATCACCAGCGTGATTTCCTGAATCCACTTACAGGTTGTAAAAGCCCAGCTGATGGATGTGGGCCAGAAGGTGCCTCTTCTGTCCTCGCCCCTTTCGCACAGGGAGCAGGAAACGTAGTGACTCCTAACAAGGAGACGTCATGCGTAGCCCAACAGGACGTATCTATGGTCATCACACAATAATCCTTGTATTTTGTGATGGTGGAGGAAAACTTCGGTGGTGGATCCACTGGTGGGAGAAAAAAAAAAGAGGAAGAGAGAACGGAACAATTTTTAATGTGCCTTTTTCTTTCTCCCATGCACAAATGCTCGCATGCACGCACGCACATCCACAATTTATTCAAACAAGTTCTAACTAGCTCCTTTCGGTTCACCTCTGGGGGGGGGGACAAAATTGCTGCCAGATGTTCAGGCAGAGAATTGGCTTTTAGCTTTGTGCTTCTCTGTTGCTAAAACGTTGAGCTATTTGCAAACGCAGGTCATCCTCGCCCGACGATCACTGTTGAATCCAACGTTTCTGCTGCTAAGCGAGACTGTCCTTAAGCGAGTTGGGCTCCATTTTGTGACTTCTTGCGAACCACGCAGCTGTTGGCTTTGCTTACCGGAAGCTGTCTGGGAAAACTGCAACGGGAGATCCCGCGATCCCGGGACGGTACAAATGGGATACGTGCCAGTGGCCAAGGGCCCAAATTGGATCACGTGGCCTTAAGAGATGCTGCAATGATTATAAGTAGAAAAACTGGGTATACTGGCTACTTTTTTTTCCAGTTCCGGTGCCACTTTGAACCGTCACTAAATGAACGGCTGTAAGTCAAGGACGGCCTGTAATTGCAAACTGGTTGCCAAGCAAATGAATTATAACCCTAAAACCTCAGGCACACTGTGGCAGCCCCAAACCTGAGGATCAGTCTTAAGTCTGTCTTTCTCATGACACTGAATGCATGATAGTAACCTGAAGACTAGCTGTATACAACTGAATGGTGCTTTTTCAAGAGGCAACTGGATTTTTTTTTAAGATGTTTCACTTCTGTTCCAAGAAGCTTCCTCAGCTCTGACTGGATGGTGGGGGAGTGGAAGGACTTATATTCCTTGCAGACAGCTGGTCATTTGCATCCTTTTGGAGAGCCCTTGAGGCCACTTGGATGGTTATCTTTGTCCTCAGGGTCACCTGAGTGGTGCAAATGGGTGGGGAGCCTTCTTGGGCCTGCAGAAAGGACCGTGTTGTCGACTGGAGATGGATGATGCCGTGTCCCTCCCCCTCTGTTGAGGGAGGGCTGTTCAGTTTTGACACAGATGGCCTCTTGGACCCCTCTTTCAAGCCAGCGGTCCTCCCTGTCCAAAATGTGGACTTTGCTGTCCTCGAAAGAGCGGCCTTCGTCTTTCAAATGCAGATGGACTCCTGACTCTTGTCCTGATGGGTTTGTTCTTCTATGTCAGTGTTTCCCAAACTTGACAATTTTAAGGCATGAGGACTTCAACTCCCAGAATTCCACAGCCAGCGTTGCTGGCTGTGGAATTCTGGGAGTTGAAGTCCACATGCCTTAAAATTGTCAAGTTTGGGAAACACTGTCCTATGTTGTGCTGTGCATTTATGAAGTGGTTGTTTTGTTTCCCCAATGTACAGATCTGAAAAGAGGGCATCTATGTCAAGATTGAACAGCCCTCTCTCAAGGCATTATCTATCTCCGGTCTACAACACAGTCCTTTCAGCAGTTCCAAGAAGGCTTCACACCCATTTGCACCACTCCGGTGACTCTGAGGACACAGATAAACCTCCAGGTGGCCTCAATGACTCTCCGAAAGAGTGCAACTGACCGGCTGTTTTGCAAGGAGTATAAATCCTTCCACTCCCACCATCCAGTCAGAGCTGAAGAAGCTTCTTGGATGAGAAGCGAAATGTCTTCAAAGAAAAACAAGGAAGTCCAGTGGCCTTCTGAAAAATCACCCTTGGGACAACTATGACCTGGATGGCTGAGAATCTCCATAAGACATTTACCTGTATACATCCCACACCCCTCCATTGTGCTTCTCTTAGTTCCCAAATGTTCTTTAAGAAGCAGCATTCCAGGAACCTCTTAAATTATCTTACGGTGGTGGTGATCTCTATCTCGTACAGAAGGACACGTTCCAATAGAGGGGATCCTGCAGGAAATTTTCATTTGCCCACCTAAATAATCCTAACAGAATATGCATTCATGCAGCTGAACCACTGCAGGAGGGCACCCCCAATTCCCAACCCTGGTCCAGGATACACAAGTGACAAAGCTCATCTACCCATGGACTCTGTCCACTTCTGGTGGGTCAAGAAGTTCAAAAGTTCTACTGCAGTGTCTCTCGGCAACTTAAAATTGTGCGGACCTCCATCCCCAGAATTCCCTAGCCAGTATGCTGAAGTCCAGCCATCTTAAAAGCTTGCTGGTTAGGGCAGGGGTAGGCAACCTTGGCTCTTTTATGACTCATGGACTTCAACTCCCAGAATAGCTGGCTCAGGAATTCTGGGAGTTGAAGTCCACGAGTCATAAAAGAGCGAACGTTGCCTACCCCTGCCCTATACCAGGGGTGGGGAACAATGGCCCCTTCATGACTCATGGACTTCAACTCCCAGAATTCCTGAGCTAGCATGGCTCAGCATGGAAATCTCTCCATTTCTCCTCAGTGTGGCCGGCTCAGGAATTCTGGGAGTTGAAGTCCACGAGTCATAATAGAGCCAACGTTGCCTACCCCTGGGCTAAGGAATTCTGGGAGTTGTCCAGCATCTTAAAGCATGCTAGCTGGGAATTCTGGGAGCTGAAGTCTACTGATCTTAAAGAATGGTTAACTGGGAAATCCTGGGAGTTGAAGTCCAACATCAAGGAGAGAAGCAACCTAGAACTAATGAGAAACTTCCTGACAGTTAGAACAATTAACCAGTGGAACAACCTGCCTCCAGAAGCGGTGAATATTCCAACACTGGAAGTTTTTAAGAAGAGACTGGACAGCCATTTGTCCGAAATGGTATAGGGTTTCCTACCTGAGTAGGGGACTGGACTAGATGACCTCCAGGGTCCCTTCCATCATCATCATCATTATCATCATCATCATCATTACAGCATGCTATCTGGGAATTCTGGGAGCTGAAGTCTACCCATCTTAAAAAATGGCTAGCTGGGGAATTCTGGGAATTGAAGTCCACTCATCTCTCGGCTGCTAAGGTTAAGAGACAGTGTTCTGTCACAGGTGTCTCCAACCGTGTCAACTTTAAGACACGTGGACCTCAACTCCCAGAATTCCTCATCCAGCCCTACTGGCTGGGGAATTCTGGGATTTGAAGTCCACACCTCTTAAAGTTGCCGAGTTTGAAGACCTCTGCTCTGTCACAACATGCCTTTCTTAGGCAACCCATTTTTCTGCAGCTGTCTAAGAGGGTCAGACCCTGGAAATAGGAAAGACTGACGCTGAGTTCCAGTGTTCCCACCCGAAGATTATCAGCGACACTTCGCTACTTTCACAGATCCTTGACTGACCGGGGCTCAGTGGAGTGCTGGTCTTAATTGGGGAATTAGAACTTCTGGGAGTTTTCAAAGCTGACGCCTTCGACGAATCCTTGCAGGTGATGCTAGATAAATCTTCAATATCTCCAAGATACCTGATCAAAACAAAATGGAGGAGAAGACATCGAGGTGGGCTTCTCGTCTATCCAGAAATGCTGAGCTCCATAATCCTGGGGTTTTTTTTTTTTTGAGCCTCTTCTTCCCAACACCTCAATCGTCTCCCCAAACACTTGTGAGGATATGGACCCCCTGCCTCACCCCATTTTGCTATGAGACAATCTGGAATGTTCTAGCTTAGAACTCTAGAACAGGGCTTTCCAACCTTTTCACCCATTGTACCACTTTTAGGAGACGGCAACATCCAAGGACCACCAGTCGCCTAGCAAGGTGTCAAAAACTTGATGACCAAAAAAAGAAAGAAAGAAAGAAAAAAAGTGATGGAGTGCAGGTAGTCCTTGACTTACAACAGTTCACTTAGTGACTGTTCGAAGTTACAATGGCATTGAAAAAAATGCCCCTCAAGCCACAGCTGAGCAAGACACCTGCCTGCCCGCCCGGCCGTGCTCTTCCTCCTGTCCGAGGTTTTCATTGTTGTGAGCATTTCTGTTGAGGATTGGCAGCGGGGGGGTGGTGGGGGTTGTTTGGTTTTTATTCCCCCCGTCTGCTGGGCGGTTGCAGCAGGTTTTGGTCACTTCACATGACCCTGGGACACTGCGACCGTCATAAATATGAATCGGTTGCCAAGCATCTGAATGTAAATCACAAGACCCTGGAGAGGCTGCAACATTCCAGCTGATTGGCGCTTCTTCTGGGCTCAGCAGAAGCGCCAGGATCAGCGCCGAGCTCCAGCTGGATCCTGGCACTGATCCTGGTGCTTCCACTGAGCCCTGACAGTCCCGAAGAAGCACCAATCAGCTGGAAAGCGGCACTGATCCTGGCGCTTCCCCTGAGCCCTGACAGCCCTGCAGCTCCAGCCATCTCTCGCTTAGGCTTGTGTGGTGCTGCCACCGGTTCAGCTCATTCCCCTCACCCGCTACTACTTTTCTAGGATGGTCGCGTACCACCTGCCAGGTGCCAATGGACCACAGGTGGTACCCGTACCACTGGTTGAAAAGCCCTGCTCTAGAGTAAGCCACGAGCGCCAAAGAATTGAGGCCTTTGAACTCTGGTGCTGGAGAAGACTCCTGCGAGTCCCTTGGACTGCAAGGCGTTCAAATCGGTCAGTCCTGGAGGAGATCAACTCCGACTGCTCTTTAGAAGGCCAGATCCTGAAGTTGAAACTCAAGTACTTTGGCCACCTAATGAGAAGGAAGGACTCACTGGAGAAGGGCCTGATGCTGGGAAAGATGGAGGGCAAGAGAAGAAGGGGACGACAGAGAATGAGATGGCTGGATGGAGTCACTGAAGCAGTAGGTGTGAGCTTAAATGGACTCCAGAAGATGGTAGAGGACAGGAAGGCCTGGAGGAATGTTGTCCATGGGGTCGCGATGGGTCGGACACGACTTCGCAACTAACAACAACAAACAGGCTGGTTTCAATGGTTTGGAAGTCCAGTTTCTTTCACTTAAAGCCAGCGAAGTGAGATGATGGGATCTGTAGTCTCCACAGCTGTTAGCCCTGCAAGGTAGTCCAGACAAGAAGCAGACCCAGGACTTGCTAGTTCTAGTCCTGCCTCAGGCATGAAAGTTAGTTGGGTGACTTAGGGCCAATCACCAGGAGATGGGGAGCAACAGTCCCGCCTTAGGCACGAAAGCTGGTTGGGTGACTTTGGGCCAATCACCAAGAGACGGTCTCACATATGAAAGCCAGATGGGTGACATCAGGCCAATTGGCAGGCGACGGTGAATTCTAGTTCTGTCTTAGGCATGAAAGCCAACTGGGTGACTTTGGGCAATCACCAGGAGACGGTGAGTTCTAGTCCTGCCTTAGTTATGAAAGCCTGGTCAGTAACTATGGGCCAATCACCAGGAGAGGGCAAGTTCTAGTCCCACCTTAGTTATGAAAGCAGACTGGGTGACATTGGGCCAACCACCAGGAGCGGCGAGTTCTAGTCCTGCATTAGTCATGAAATTTGAGTAGATGATTTAGGGCCAGTGTCTCTCTCTCCCTCTCAGCCCAACCCACATCACAGGGTTGTTGTGGGTAAAATACTAAGAGGAAAGAGGATTAGGTAGATTAGCCAGCTTAAATTAATTAAAATAATAAAGGCGGGCAATCAATCAATCAATCAAATAAATTTCAAAACTCGGGAGAACAGCTACATCCATTGGTGCAAAACTATGCTAAAACTGGACACACACACACCCCAGGCTGAATCCACCTTTTCCCCAATGAGTGGCCTTTCACAGCTCTGCTTCCTGTTCCCCCCCCCCGCTCCAAACTCAGTGAAACCAGTTCACTTCCGAAGAAGCAAAACAGTCCTTACGTGTCTTCGGCTCCGAATTCTCTCGCAGGCTCACCGAGACTTCCGGCTAGTGCTGCCCCAGGGCTGCAGAGGAGTAAACACAATAAATACCGTGTTTTCCCGAAAATAAGACCTGGTCTTATATTATTTTTACCTCCAAAGGAGGCACCAGGTCTTATATTCGGGGGATATCTTACCCGTTTAGCTTAGGACTGCCGCAGCCCGGCCTCCCACGTCCGGACATCCGCCTCGCCTTAACAGCCCACTTCTTCTTCAGCCGGTGCCCTGGCTTCCGTTTCGCCATCAGAGGCCTTCCGGAAGGCGGGGGCGATGCGCACAAGCTGTGGTGAAGTGGCCACAAAAGTGGGCCAGCGAGGCGAAGCAGGTGTGGCACGGCGTGAGAGGCGTGGCTGCAAGTGTCCTAAGGTAAGTGGGTGTGGGGTGCGTGGGGCAGTTCCCCCCATCCTTGCCCTAGCTTGATTTTTACCCATGCGCCTCGCCCCTCCTCGTGCAACCAGTTGCAATGGAGTGAGTAGGGCTTAGTTTTGGGGTAGGGCTTATATTGGGTGCACGTGTAATAATCAAGCTAGGTCTTATTTTTATTAATTTTTGCTCCAAAAGACACATCAGGACTTATTTTCCGGTTAGGGCTTATATTTAGGGAAATATGGTACTAAATGCATCCGTCTGGCTGACAATCTTAACTGGGGCTTATTTTGGGGGGTGGGGCTTATATTACGAGCATCCTGAAAAATCAGGCTAGGGCTTATTTTCCAGTTGGGTCTTATATTCGAGGAAATACGGTACTAAATGCGTCTATCTAATTGGGACATTTTAGGGGTGGGGCTTATATTATGAGTGTCCTGAAAAATATTTGGGGAAATGCGGTACTAAATCCATCCGTCTACCTGGGACTTATTTTGGGGGTGGGGTTTATTTACGGGGAAATGTGGTACTAAATCCATCCGTCTAACTGGGACTTATTTTTCTGGTTGGGTCTTATATTCAGGGAAACACTGAATATAAGTATTTATGACATGGTCGCAGTGTCCCAAGGTCACGTGATCCCCTTTTGCAACCTTCCGATAAGCAAAGTCATTGGGGGGGCAGGCCAGATTGGCTTAACAACTGCAGTGGTTCGCTTAACAACCATGGCAAAAACGGTCGTAAAAGGGGGCACAATTCATCTATCTTGCATAGCAAGGAGATCAATCATGGTCGTAAGCTGAGGACTTCTTCTACCACAAAAACCCGAGACGGTCAGGCTGCGTTGGTACTTCCCAAGCTGATTGTGAGAATGTCAGTTGTGCTTCTCCACATCTGGACTTCAACCCAATCGATCAAATCTGGGCTGAACCAATCACTGAGAAGCTTATAAACAAGGCAGCCATGTTTTCATGTCCTAAAAGGTTTTTTTTTTAAAAGGCATTCACGTTCTCAAAAAAAAGTGTCTATGGAAGATTCTCAATCATCCAGTTCATGGTTGCCCCAAAGGTGCTTTTTCATGAGGCCACTGGACTTTCTTGTTTTGCTTTGAAGACGTTTCGCTTCTCCTCCAGGAAGCTTCTTCAGCTCTGACTGGATGGTGGGGAATGGAAGGATTTATATTTATATTGTGACCTTGAGGACACAGACAAGCCTCCAGGTGGCCTCAATGACCCTCTAAAAGAAGGCAGATGACCGGCTGTCTGCAAAGAGTATAAATCCTTCCATTCCCCACCATCCAGTCAGAGCTGAAGAAGCTTCTTGGATAAGAAGCGAAATGTCTTCAAAGAAAAAGAAGGAAGTCCAGTGGCCTCTTGAAAAAGCGCCTTTGGGTTCTAAAAAAAAAAAAAAGGTTTTCAAGAAGAACCTGGACAGCCATTTACACAGAATGGGATAGGGTCTCCTGCCTAAGCATTGGGGTTGGACTAGATACAGGGGTAGGCAACCTTGGCTCTTTTATGACTCATGGACTTCAACTCCCAGAATTCCTGAGCCAGCCATGCTGAGGGGAAATGGAGGTTTCCATGCTAAGCCATGCTGGCTGAGGAATTCTGGGAATTGAAGTCCACGAGTCATAAAAGAGCCAAGGTTGCCTACCCCTGTATCTAGTCCAACCTTCCCCCCCCCCCCCCGCTCAAGCAGGAGACCCTTGATCAGGGGTCTCCAAGCTTGGCTCTTTTATGACTTGTGGACTTCAACTCCCAGAATTCCTGAGCAGCCATGCTGAGGAGAAATGGAGAGGTTTCCATGCTGAGCCATGCTGGCTGAGGAATTCTGGGAGTTGAAGTCCACGAGTCATAAAAGAGCCACGGTTGCCTACTCCTGGTCTAGATGACCTCTGAGGTCCCTTCCAACCCTGCTACAGATAGTCTTTGACTTATGACTACAATTGAGCCCAACATTTCCACTCTTAAGCAAGACAGTCGCTAAGTGGGTTTTTCTCCGTTTTTACGACCTTACTTGCCACCGTTGTTAAATGAATCACTACCGTCGCTAAGCTAGTCACACGGTTCTTAAGTGAATCGAACTTCCCTTCTGTCAGAAGGTCGCAAATGGAGATCATGTGACCCCTGGGACGCTGAAACCGTCATAAACAGGAACCAGTTGCCCAGTGTCTGAATTTTGACCCCACGACCACGGGGACGCTGCAACGGTCGTAAGTATGAAAAAATGGTCGTAAGTCCCTTTTTCCAGTGCCGCTGCAACTTCGAACGGTCACTAAAATGGATGTTGGTAAGTGGAGGACTATTTGCATTTTGGTTTTGTAAAATATAGGCTCCTTATGTGGGCAAGAAATAACTCAAAAGAGGCATTGTTAGTAACACAGTGTGGGGTTCCATCTATTTATTTCTTGTTAGGAAGACTTTTATTATTAGAAACATTTATGCTCTGCTTTCATGAAAGGGTCCCTGAGCAGCTGTAAAAATAATTGTGCAACACACAAGCTGTTCACCAAAGACAAACAGAAAAGCTGAAGGAAACGAGGTAAATACAGAAGGAAAACAAGCCATTAAAAAAAAACACCAGCTCGTGTTAAAAGAGAGTTTTCATCTCAACGGCTGCCTAAACATGAAATAAAAATTCTTACCTGGTTACAGAAGTAAATACATCTCTCCTTGGCAGGTTGTCATGGATATATTTGGTACCTGTCCCATAGGAACACTCTCTTCCTGTGGAATAGAAGGAGCAACATGCTCACAGAACTTGAAATAAAGATATCTCTAGAAAGAAAGAAAAAATGTCGGAGCGTGCAGAGTCTTGTTGCGTGAGATAACCCAGGAGTAAACACAGTAAGCAGTGGTTTGTAACAATGGTGGTTTATCTACAATATTATACAAGTCTACACCAGGAACAACTTGCCTACACGTGCTACAAGCAGAATCCAAGAAACCTTAATTACAGAAAGAAAGGGAATAAAGAGAACACATCAGCAGAGCCTTCCCTTTATACAAAGGCTCTTAAAGAGACACAAACCCTGCTGACTCATTCCCATCATTATATCTTACATCAGTGTTTCTCAACCTTGACAATTTTAAGGCATGTGGACTTCAACTCCCAGAATTCCACAGCCAGCAATGCTGGCTGTGGAATTCTGGGAGTTGAAGTCCACATGCCTTAAAATTGTCAGGGTTGAGAAACACTGTCTTACATCATACATTACATCCGCTGGCTAGCTTTTAAATCATTACCTTGACCAAAAAAATGTGCATACATTTTATTTTCAGTTAGCAGCATCTTCTAGCTTCGGGCAAATTGCAAAGACAATGTTTTTAAAGAGGCCTCTCTGTCTTTCTACACCATCTTTTTAAGGAAAGGGTTGCTCTCCCCCCCCCCACTTAATAATTGCATTCAGAATCCCCCAGGGATGCTGAAATACTTACAAATACTAGTGCAATGATGGCGAACCTTTTAGAGACCGAGTGCCCAAACTGCAACCCAAAACCCACTTATGCGTTGTTGGGTGCCGGGTGGGTGTGGCCCATTGGCTGGGTGTGGCCCATTGGGTGGGTGTGGCTGCGGTGGTAACAGCAGACTGGGTGGGACTAAAAAGTTCAATCAATCAATTCCAACTTTGCAAGATCTTTGAAGTTGACTGATTGATTGAACCTTTTTTTTTTTTTTTGCACACGGCGGCGGAGGCCTAAAGCGAAAAGGTTTTATAAAACCCAGTTGAAGGCTTAGGACTGGGGCGACGGCGTGCGTGCCCACTGAGAGGGCTCTGAGTGCCGCTTCTGGCACCCGTGCCATAGGTTCGCCACCACTGTATACTAGTGAATATTAATGCCATGTTAAGGCCTCTGAGACTACTTTGTCTCTTTCCTCCAGGGCAGACGATGGAAATCAGGATATATTGGAGGGAGACAATTTAATTTTCATTTATTTATTTTATCAAATTTCCAGAACTGACTACCTCACAAGGAGTGAATTGGGGCGGCATGCAACAATAGGATTAAAAACAATTATGTGACATATGGCCACAATTGAGACTCGGACTTCCACTGCTAAGGGAGGTAGTTGTTAAGTGGGTCATGTCTGATTTTACAACCAATTTTGGTCATGTGGCCATGGGAATGCTACAGTGTGAAAAACGGCTATAAGCCACTTTTTTCAGTGCCACTGTAACTTTGAGCCAACTGTTGTTAAGTCAAGGATTACCTGTATTCCCCATTGTGTGCCTGCTTACTCTCTTCCAATCCCTTTCTCTACAATGAATGTACATCGTAAGTGTGAAAACTAGTTATTTTTTTCAGGACTGCTGTAACTTCAAACACTCACTAAACGAACGGTTGTAAGTCGAATACCACCTGTAATTAAGATGACAGGACAAGTTAATATTGCACGCACACATACAAAAAAAAACACCTTACTCTGCCCTGGATTGATGGGATGTTCTTTGTGATCACAGATTCCTTGAGATTTTTTCAGTTTTTCCTTCTGTCCAGAAATTTCCTCCGTTCTTTCTCGAATATCTTCTTCGTCCTCTTCCTCAGCCGTTGAGTACTAAAATGATAAGTTAAGAGTTTCTCAACAGCGAAAGAATTGAGTTGTCTCAACTAAGCGCTAAGCCTGGAACACAAAATGTCTTATTGTTCATATATTTATCCTTATTTACTCAATATGAACTTCATTACTTACTCTTCGGCACAATGAACTCTATCCGATATTAACACCATCTATTTTGTCCCAGAAGAACAGGTTAGAGATGGATCGTCATTGAGAAAAATCTCATTGTGTGTTGCTAGGAGTTGGGAATGACTTGATGGCACATAATCAACCCATCCATCACTTCAACCTAGCCTTCGCCAACTGTTGGCCAGTTCATGTGTCCTCTGAAACAGGAGTTCAAAGATCCCAAAGAGGCTTCAGGATATGTTGAACTACAAATTATAGCATCAAATACCTTCCTAGCCTTGTAGAAATTTCAACCCAACCCAACTTTCAGGGTTATCGTTGTAGGGGGGGAAGAGGAAGGAAAGAGGAGTATTGATTATGTTCATTGTCTTGAGTCATTTGTAAAAGAAAGAAGGGAGGGAGGGAGGGAGGGAGGGAGGGAGGAGAAAGAGAGAGGAAGGAAGGAAGGAAGGAAAGGATGGAGGGAGGAAGGGAGGAAGGGAAGGAGAGAGAGAGGGGAAGGAAAGGATGGAGGGAGGGAGGAAAGAAGGAAAGGAAGGAAAAGAAAAGAGAGAAAGGAAGGAAGGGAAAGAGAGAGGATGGAGGGAGGGAGGCAGAGAAGGAAGGAAAAGGGAGGAAGGAGAAAGAGAGGAAGGAAAGGATGGAGGAAGGAAGGAAAGAAAGAAGGAAGGGAAAGAGAGAGGATGGAGGGAGGGAGGCAGAGAAGGAAGGAAGGAGAAAGAGAGAGAGGAAGGAAAGGATGGAGGAATGGAAGGAAAAAAATGAAAGAGAAAGAAAAGAAGGGAAGAGAAAGAGAGAGGAAGGAGAAAGGAAGGCAGACAGGGAAGAAAGGAAGAAAAAGAAAGGAAAGAAAGAAAGAAAGAAAGAAAGAAAGAAAGAAAGAAAGAAAGAAAGAAAGAAAGAAAGAAAGAAAGAAAACCTCATGTTCTACTCTACCCAGAAAGGAATCTGAGCTTTTAAAAAGAGTGGCTATCAAGTGGGGCTAAAGGATCATCTGGATTGGGAAACCCAATTAATTGGCTGGGGACCAATACTGGACCAACAGAGGTAACCCAACAGTTTAGCTTCCTGTTGGGAGCTCTCCAAGGTACTGACGGTGGCCAGTTTCCCCGGCAAAAAAATAACCCAGCCTTTAATTTTTCTGGGGAACTCTCCAGGGTCCTGAACATAAGGCTTCCCTCTCCATCCGCTCGCCTCCCCCCCCCCCCCAAATCAAGGGCTCTTTTCTCTCTCTGCATAAAGTCGCCTTTTCTGTCTTTTTCTTTTCTTTTTATAGGTTCAAAATTTCATTAATTTGCCAAAACGTTAAAATATAAAGAAAAATGAAAATAAAAGCAAAATAGGGGAAAAAAGAAGAAGGGAGAAAAGTGTAAGATAGAGGAGAAAAAGGGAGGGGAAAAACGTTGACTTCCAACTCCTTTTGGTGCTGTACAGGGAGTCCTCGAGTTACAACAATTTGCTTAGTGACTATCTGAAGTTACAATGGCACTGAAAAAAGTGACATGTCCATTTTTCACACTTATGACTGTTGCAACATCCCTGGGGGTCACGTGATTTACATTCAGATGCTTGGCAACTGACTCACATTTATTTATATATAGATATATAGTTATATGGATGGATGGACAGATATAGATAAGCTAGCTAAATAGATAGGTAATAGATGACAGAAGATTGATAGATAGGTAGGTAGGTAGGTAGGGTAGGGTAGACAGAAAGATACATAGAGATGATGGATATAGATGATAGATAGATATAGATAAGATAGGTAGATAGATTAGATAGATAGATAGATAGATAGATAGATAGATAGATAGATAGATAGATAGATAGATAGATAGATCATAGATAGATATAGATAAGCTAGCTAGCTAGCTAAATAGATGCTAGATGATAGAAGACTGATAGAGAGATTAGCTAGATAGATGGTAGATAGGATAAGTAGACAGAGACATACATAGAGCTGATGGATATAGAAGATAGATAGATAGATAGATAGATAGATAGATAGATAGATAGATAGATAGATAGATAGATAGATAGATAGATAGATAGATCATTTCTATAACCATCCAACCTATCGACAAAACCCAAAATCAAAATTCCAATTTTTTTTCCGCCTCAAGCACAAAGTTCAGAAGCGCTTTCCAAATAGGAAAAAAAAATGAGTTGTGTTCTTTTCTTTAATCAAATTTAGCCATATCTCTTCTGACTCCAACAAACTTTCTCTTACTTCCAATTCCGAAGGCTCACGAGGAGCAGAACCGCCGAAAAAATAGTCGGGCTCCGGAGTTAAAAACTCCTCGGACACGTTGAGGGAGGAAGGCGGTGAGTTTGGAACCTCCTCCAGCTGCTCCTGCAAGAGAGAGAGAGAGACGGGACTTAAAACGGCATCTTTTATCGAGAACAGAAGGAAAGTGCCTATTTTGTGACTTGCTCCGCACCAGTTGTGAGTGTTCCACTTTTCCTTCGAGACTCAAAGAGAGCCTAGAGGCTGTCCTCAACTTACAGCTACAATTGGGATCGGGATTTTCTGTCGCTAAGCAGGACAGTCATTAAACGAGTCGCTCCGATTTTATGACCCTTTTCGGCAGGGCGGTTCAAGGAATCATTGCCATCGTTAAGCGACTGTTAAGCAAATCCATCTTTTCCTGCCCCCCCCCAAACTGAGTTTGTTTGTTGGAATCCCAAAAATTCCACTGTCATTAAGTGAGGCGGTTCTTGAGCGAGTTACATCTCGTTTTACGACCTTTTGGGAAACAGTTGTTAAGGGAACTAATGCGGCCGCTAAGCGGATCATGGGGCTGTTCAGTGAAGCTGACTCCCCCCCCCCATGGACTTTGCTTGTCTGAAAGCAGTTGGGACGGTAACAAATTGGCAACCGTCACAAATACACACCAGTTGCCGAGCATCTGAATTCTTACCCCCTATGACTTTGGGGAGGCTGCAATGGTCGTAAGCCTGAGGACTGACTGCGACTCCCTTTTTTTCAGTGCTGCAGTAACTTTGACCGATTGCTGAACGAACGGTCGTTAAGTCGAGGACTACAATGGAGGTGGCTCTCTGCTAATTTATCCTAGCAGAGATGTCACCCAATCAAGGAACTACCGATTCAGACAATCAGTAAGCTATACACTGCATTCTAGTCAAGGAACCATCAAGAATACACCCACCAACGCTGACAGGGGAAGCCATTTGTATATAAACCGAAAGCAATTCCCACTTCTAGCACTGATGATGTTGCCTAGCTGGGTCATGAAATGTCTGCAAGAAAACAAGCTCAGAGAGCACCAAGGATCCTACAGCTTTCTTTCTTTCTTTCTTTCTTTCTTTCTTTCTTTCTTTCTTTCTTTCTTTCTTTCTTTCTTTTTTCCCTCCCTACCTCTCTGTAAACATTCTCTCTTCTATCACTGATGATGTTGCCTAGTTGGGTCATGAAACATCTCCAAGGAAAGCAATTTAGCTCAGAAACCACCCAAGGATCCTGGTACGTTGAACTTCGGCAGAAAGTCTCCCCTCTCCAGCCAGATTTGCTGACCTTTTGCTCAGACTTTTTGCTTTGATCTAGAGCAGTGGTTCTCAACCTGTGGGTCGGGACCCCATTTGGGGTCGAATGACCATTTCACGGGGGTCGCCAAACAAGGCTGTCCGTCATTTTTTCCCCCTTTTCCTTGGCCACGCCCCTGGCACCCGGTGATGTATAAGTGGTTGGGGGTCACCACAACATGGGGAACTGTATTATGGGGTCACGGCATTAGAAAGGTTGAGAACCACTGATCTAGAGCACCAGTCATAAAAAATGTTTCTGAGTAAGACCGCATTAAACTGTTATCTCTGCAATGGCTTAACGCCACTGTAGTTTTCCAGTTCTTTTGCTCAACGATCTGGACCAGGATTGGCCGATTGGACGGAGAACAATTGCTTAACTATTCCGCAGCCGAACTTACCCTGCAAGAGTCCTCCGAAGGGAGAGACAGGCACACGGGCTTGCGCGGCGCTGCGCCACTCTCGCAGGCTGGAAGCGGGCTGCTTTTTCCTATTAATATATTAAGACAACATGAAATGCAACAGCCACCATCGAGAGAAACGATGGGGACGGCCGTCGGAATTAGCATGGCAAGAAAAAAAACTCCGTTTCTTGGACGACGGGCCGGCTCGAAAAGCAAATAATTCAGAAATTGCCAATAGAGGCTGAACTGACGGGGAGGATAATAGCAATTAAATATCTAATCCACAGAGCCAAAACACCTATATATCATTGGAGAAGGGGGATAACGCATCCCCGATAAATGAATTATTTAAAAACGGTCCTTGAAAATCCATCTTTTCGATTCTCGTGGGAGCCAGACCAGCGAATCCCGCTCGCTACCGCGAGCGTCAAAACCGTTAAGGAAAATGGAACGGTACCCAGAACACTGAAATTGCTACCAACAACCAATTCTGCGAAAGTCGATTTGTGGTCCTGCTCCTTAGCCATTTTATTCTGGGGAAGGGTCCTTCCCAGGCATGGAGTGGGCAATTCACAGCACAACATCCACAATTTGCTGCTTCTTGTTAAAAAATAAAATAAAATGGGGTGGAATTTTTTGTTATTTTTTTTTATCCAGCTTTATTGTTTTAATGAGTAACTTGAGAAACTGAACAGATCTAATCCTCTTTCCTCCTCCTATTTTCCCCACAAAAACAACCCTGCAAGGTGGACCAGGATGAGAGAGACCAGCCCAAAGTCACCCAGAAAGCTTTCATGCCTTAAGGTGGGACTAGAACTCAAAGTCTCCTGGTGATTGGCCCAAAGTCAGCCAACTAGCTTTCACGCCTAAGGCGGGACTAGAACTCACCCTCTCCTGGTCATTGGCCCAAAGTCACCCAACTGGCTTTCATGCCTAAGGCTGGACTAGAATTCACCCTCTCCTGGTGATTGGCCCAAAGTCACCCAACTGGCTTTCACGCCTAAGGCGGGACTAGAACTCACCCTCTCCTGGTGATTGGCCCAAAGTCACCCAACTGGCTTTCATGCCTAAGGCGGGACTAGAACTTACCCACTCCTGATGATTGGTCCAAATTCACCCAACTGGCTTTCATGCCTAAGGCGGGACTAGAACTCACTGTCTCCTGGTAATTGGCCCAAAGTCGCCCAACTGGCTTTCATGCTTAATGCAGGACTAGAACTCACTGTCTCCTGGTCATTGGCCCAAATTCACACAACTGGCTTTCACGCCTAAGACGGGGCTAGAACTCACAGTCTCCCAGTTTTGGACCTGCTGCCTTAACCACCACACCGAACTTCAGTCATGACAAGATTGAAGCTTATCTGTATCGCTGGGGCTGTTAAAATCTGGCAGCCAAATCTACCAATTTTGGCTGCATTTTGCGGTGTCTGATTTTTTTTTTTACAACCCCTGTGAGAAGACCCATGGAAGCAAAAGCCACTGAACCAAGCTATGCTGCCTGGGGAATTCTGGGAGTTGTAGTCCACACATCTTCAAGTCGCTAAGGTTGAGAAACACAGCGGTAACTCAACCCTCCTTACCTTCCCTCTCCAGGCTTGGAACCAGATTTTTCCGTTTTTCGCGGCCACAAAGGACCTTGTGGTCGCCGATGGCCTTGCTGCGCTGCCCCTTTCCCGCCTCACCGTTCTCCTGGCAGAACTGGACCCGCTCGCAGATGATGGGGCTCGGGAAAGCGGTCATAAGGTCCTGCGCCTCACTCTGCAACATCCATCTGCTGGCAGGGTGCTGGGTCGGTATATGAAGTTGTCCCGAGGCCACCTGCATTGCCATGTGCTTCACTTCAGCTGGAGGAAAAAAACGACAGACGGACAAGTCGGTTGGATTTGACAGACAGATGGATAGATGGATGGATGGATAGATAGATAGGTTAGGATACATGAAGATGGATAGATAGGATAGATGGATGGATGGAAGGATAGGTAGGTAGGTAGGTAGATTAGGTAGATTAGACAGATTAGATAGATAAGATAGATAGACAGGATAGATGAATGGATGGATGGATGGAAGGATAGATAGGTAGGTAGATTAGATAGATAAGATAGATAGACAGACAGACAGACAGATATGGATGGATCGATAGACAGATATGGATGGATGGATGGATGGATAGACAGACAGACATGGATGGATGGATGGATGGATGGAGATAGCTATGTAGATGATAGATGTAGATAGATTGATAGAGAGACAGAGATGGATGGATGGATGTAGGTAGGTAAGTAAAGTAGATCGATCTTTGGACTGGCTTTAGTGGGACCGTTTCAGCTGATATGGTAAGTAAGCTGCATAGAATTAAATACTGGTGGTCCTCAACTTACAGCAGTTCCTTTAGTGACTGGTCAAAATTACAACAGCACTGAAAAAGGAGAGAGAGAGAGAGAGAGAGAGAGAGAGAGAGAGAGAGAGAGAGAGATTGCATTGTAAACTTGGAGAGGGAGAGGAAGCAGGAAGAGGAGGAGGCAGAAGAAGAGAGAGGATAAGAAGCAGGAGGGGGAAGGACGTTGAGCTCAGATGTTGCAAGCCAGTTGCAAAAGCAGCCGCTGGAGAACCTTTGCACTGAGCAAGCCGGCGTTTGCACGGCCACTCTCTCACCCCTGCCCAGACCCCTGCAGACTCGACACATGCCTCCAGCTGCGTGGACCGGTACCAGTCCGTGGACCAGGGGTTGGGGACCCCTGGTATAGGGTCTCCTGCTTGAGCAGGGGGTTGGACTAGAAGACCTCTAAGGTCCCTTCCAACTCTTGTTATTCTGACTTTTGTTGACAGAAGGTGGCAAAACGTGATCACATGTCCCAGGGACACGGCAAACGTCGCAAATACATGGCCCATTGCCGTCTGAATTTGGATCACGTGACCGCGGAGATCCTGCAGCGGTTTTAAGTGTGAAACGTGGCCAGCGGCGTCGTAACTTTGAACGGTCACTAAATGAATGGCTGTTAAGTCAAGGACGACCTGTAACGGAATGAACGCAAGCACACCAAAAGGGGGCGTTGAGGAATTGTTGTGTTACTCCGATGCTAAAGCAAAGAAACAAATAAACAAACAAAAAATGAAGTCTGCCTTTTTCTGAATAATACATTTTTACTTTATAGGCTTTTTAACAAAACATGCGAGGCGGAGAAAGTCCCACCAGATTCCCACAGTTCATTAAAGTTTACGCCTTTTCACGAAAGAAGTTGCTGAAGGCAGATGGATAATCGCTGGGTACTTTTTTTTGCATATTGTAAATGAGCTGCCGATTCTCGGGCCCTCAACGCTACGTTTAAAGGGAATTGGACCTTTATTTGTGAGAAATGATGGCCGTTTGGCCATTACGCTATTTGAACTACGCCGTTTTTGCAAATTGGTTTAAATGTGTCATAGATGTGACAGTTAGGGTGTATAAATAAACCTACTGTGAAATAGAATATATAAATAAACTGGCTGGGATTTGAAATCTCCAGGCCTATCTAAAAGAATACAGGTCTGGAAAAAATTCAGAAAAGAGCAACTAAGATGATCCAAGGCCTGGAGACCAAAATGTACGAAAAATGGCTGCGGGACTTGAGTTGGCCCAGTCTAAAGAAAAGAAGAAATAGGGGAGACATGATAGCAGTGTTCCAGTATTTGAGGGGCTGCCACAAACAAGAGCGGGTCACGTTATTCTCCAAAGCACCAGAGGGCAGGACGAGAAACAATGGTTGGAAACTGATCAAAGAGAGAAGCAACCTGGAATTAAGGAGAAACTTCCTAACAGTAAGGACAATTAACCCATGGAACAGCTTGCCACCAGAAATTGTGGGTGCTCCATCACTGCAGGTTTTTACAAAGAGATTGGACAGTCACTTATCTGAGATGGCATAGGTTCTCCTGCTTAAGCAAGGGGCTGGGTTAGAAGACCTCCAAGGCCCCTTCCAGTTCTATTCTATTCTATGTCATCCTTGACTTACAACAGTCCATTTAAGTGACCGTTCAAAGTCACAATACAAAAAAGGGGCTTATGACAGTTTTTCGCATTTATGACCAATGTAGCATGCCTCCAGAAGCGGTGAATGCTCCGACACTGGAGGTTTTTAAGAGGAGACTGGACAGCCATTGGTCTGAAATGGTATAGGGTTTCCTGCCTGAGCAGGGGGTTGGACTAAATGACCTCCAAGGTCCCTTCCAACTTTATTATTACTGTATTATATGGGATAAAGGCAGCCTAATAATTTAATAAATAGATTAAGTATAAATAAATCAACAACATCCGGAAAGTGGATTATTTTTCTGCAGGAGAAAACAGCACCTAAAGTTTTTTTTCTTTGTCCTCTACCGCCATCTGGTGGGCAGAGAGGAACAACAGCGCAACTTTTCCGCAGCAGAGATTGTGTCAATGCCACCGTATTCTACTCACTACTTTGGTACAGCAGGCAAAATGATGGAGTAGAAACTTGGAGACAGTGAGTTCTAGTCCTCTCTTAGGGTCTCACTTGAGAAACAGGCTTGGATTATCCTACATATAAGGAATGGTTGCTAGAATTGGGTGTGTCTAGTTTAACGAAGAGAAGGACAAGGGGGGACATGATAGCAGTATTCCAGTATCTCAGGGGCTGCCCCAAAGAAGAGGGAATCAAGCTATTTTCCAAAGCACCCGAAGGCAGGACAAGAAGCAACGGATGGAAACTCATCAAGAAGAGAAGCAACCTAGAACTAAGGAGAAACTTCCTGACAGTGAGAACAATTAATCAGTGGAACTACCTGCCTCCAGAAGCAGTAAATGCTCCAACCCTGCAAGTTTTTAAGAAGAGACTGGACAGCCATTTGTCCAAAATGGTGTAGGGCAGTGGTTCTCAACCTGTGGGTCGGGACCCCATTTGGGGTCGAATGACCATTTCACGGGGGTCGCCAAACCATGCTGTCCGCCATTTTTTCCCCTTTTCCCTAGCTGTCCTACTCCCTCTTATTGGTGGCCACACCCACTTGGGGGTCACCACAACATGGAGAACTGTATTATGGGGTCACGGCATTAGAAAGGTTGAGAACCACTGGTGTAGGGTTTCCTGCCTGAGCAGGGGGTTGGACTAGATGACCTCCAAGGTCCCTTCCAACTTTACTGTTATTATTATTATTATTATTATTATTATTATTATTACTTTGGCTATATTATGCAAATATAATGCTTCTCAGCGGAATAAAGAATAACAGAGTTGGAAGGGACTTTGGAGGTCTTCTAGACCAACTCTCTGGTCAAACAGGAGACCCCCTATACCATTCTGGACAAATGGCTGTCCAGTATTTTCTTGAAAACCTCCAGTGATGATGGAGCAGCCACAACGTCTGGTGGCAAGCTGTTCCCCTGGTTAATTGTCCTCAGGAATTTTCTCCTTAATTCCAGGTAGCTTCTCTCCTTGATTAGTTTCCATCCATTGCTTCTTTTTGCTTTGGAGAATAGCTTGACTCCCTTTTCTTTGGGGCAGCCCCTGAGATACTGGAATGCTGCTATCATGTCCCCCCCTCGTCCTTCTCTTTATTAAATTGGACATACCCAATTCCAGCAACTGTTCTTCTATGATTTAGCCTCCACTCCCCTAATCATCTTTGCTGCTCTTCTCTGCATCTTTTTCGTGTTGTGATGACCAAAACTGGATGCAGTATTCCACATGTGGTCCTACCAAGGCCTTATAAACCAGTATTAACACTTCACATGATCCTGATTCTATCCCTCTGTTGATGCAGCCCAGGACTGCAATGGCTTTTAAAAGGGTGGCTTTTAACTCCCACAATTCCCCAGCCAGCCAGCAAGGGGAATTCTTGATGGGCAGGAGAGTAAATAGTCCAAAGCCTATTACTCACCTGTGTAACTCTGCCCCCAAACTTTGAGTGGCCTTAAAAGAGGACTGGATAAATTGCTGTCATGGTTCTGACAGATGAAACTCTTCAAAAGAACTTTGAGGCATTGTTTACCTTAAAGAACTTTTTATTCAAGTAGCATAATATCGGCACTTACATAATCGAAGCCAAAAACTGAATTCTCCTCCCCTGAGCACATAGTATCAAAGCACAATTCCCTCCTCCAATTTACAATCATAAATCACATCCCCCAACTAGCTTGAAGCTCTCTAGCCAGCCATTTCTTTATCAGCTCTCGTTTCAACAACCTTGATTCTTACACTAAGTTTTGTGTTGTTATGTCTAGCTGGACTCTCCTTCACACACACCTTCCCCAGCATCATCTAACTCAGGGCTTTTCAAACAGTGGTAGGTGGTACATTGGCACCTGGCAGGTGTGGTACATTGGCACCTGGCAGGTGGTAGGCAACCATCCTAAAAAAGTGGTAGCGGGGGAGGGGAATGAGTTGAACTGATGGCAGCACCGTACAAGCCTGAGAGAGAGACGGCTGGAGCTGCAGGGCTGTCAGGGCTCAGTGGAAGCGCCAGAATCAGTGCCAGGCTCCAGCTGGAGCTCGGCGCTGATCCTGGTGCTTCTGCTGAGCCCTGAAGAAGCACCAATCAGCTGGAAAGCAGCACTGATCCTTGCGCTTCTGCTGAGCCCAAAAGAAGCGCTGATCAGCTGGAATGTTGCAGCACCTCCAGGGTGTTGTGATTTACATTCAGATGCTTGGCAACTGATTCATATTTATGACGGTCAGTGTCCCAGGCTCATGTGAAGTGATCAAAACCTGCTGCAACCGCCCAGCAGACAGGGAGAATAAAAACCAAACACCCCCCAGCCCACCCCCGCTGCCAATCCTCAACAGAAATGCTCACAACAATGGAAACCTCAGACAGAAGGAAGAGCACTACCGGGCGGGCAGGCAGGTGTCTTGCTCAGCTGTGGCTTGGGGGGCACTTTTTTCAGTGCCATTGTAACTTTGAACAGTCACAAAGCGAACTGTTGTAAGTCGAGGACTACCTGGACTTTATCACTTTTTTCCTTTTTGGGGGGGGGGATCATCAAATTTCTGACACCTTGCTAGGGGACTGATGGTACTCAGATGTTGCCATATCCTAAAAGTGGTACAATGGGTGAAAAGGTTGAAAAGCCCTAATCCAGTGGTTCTCAACCTGTGGGTCGGGACTCCATTTGGGGTCGAACGACCATTTCACGGGGGTCGCCAAACAACGCAGTCCGCCATTTTTTCCCCCTTTTCCTTAGCTGTGCTACTCCCTTTTATTCTATTGGCTTTTGAAAGCCAATAGAATAGACTCTCTTGAATAGAGTCTAATTCTATTGGCTTTCAAAAGCCAATAGGAATTGTCCAGGCTGTCTCTGCCCTGCTGAGCCCGCCAAAAGTCCCCTTCTGTAAACGGTGCTGCACCAGTTGAGTAGTCCTCGACTTACGACCGGTTGGGGGTCGCGGCATTAAAAAGGTTGAGAACCCCTGCCCTAATCTAACTCTAAAAGCGAAAGGAAGAAAATGGGGTACATTTCCCTCTGTTGTCCATGCAAAAACATCCGATGTTAGCAGCGTTGACACTGCTGGAAGAAGGTCTATCAAGGGTTTACCCATCTTGATGACCTCAGGATGCCTCCAAGCTGAGGGCACCATTGCTAAATCCTAGTTGTAGGAACAATGGAGGGAGGGAGGGAAAGAGAAGGATGTGTTCTCCACCTGTTGATCCCCCAAAGGGCATCTAGCTGATCCCAAATATATGTCACTTGATCCAACGGGGTCCATTTTGAACTGTGAGACCGAGAAATCTGGATGTTGTAGTCCCAGCTCACTTGAACGCCCTCCACCCTTTCCCAATTTCCGTAGACTGGAAAAAAAAGAGATGTACCCCCAAAACTCACTTGTCCATTCAGACTGGGCCATTCTCCTCTCCTCGCTTCTCAGATTTGCTTCGTGGATTTCGGAAGCTGTTTTTTTGAAGGACCTGCAAAACCAGGTTACCTCAGCATCATGTCTACAGTACTGACCACAGATAGAATGCGCTTACAGTTAGACCCCACTTTATTTAGGTTTTTTTTTAAAAAAAAAAACAACCTAAGCGGCTCCTGCCTTTTTCTCCCTCTTAATTTGAATAACAGAATTAACAGAGTTGGAAGGGACCTTGGAGGTCATCTAGTCCAACCCCCTGCTCAGGCAGGAAACCCTACACCATGTCGGACAAATGGCTGTCCAGCCTCTTCATAAAAACATCCAGTGTTGGAGCATTCACTGCTTCTGGAGGCAGGTGGTTCCACTGGTTAATTGTCCTCACTGTCAGGAAGTTTCTCCTTAGTTCCAGGTTGCTTCTCTCCTTGATGAGTTTCCATCCGTTGCTTCTTGTCCTGCCTTCAGGTGCCTTGGAGAATAGCTTGACTCCCTCTTCTTTGGGGTAGCCCCTGAGATACTGGAAGACTGCTATCATGTCACCCTTAGTCCTTAAACTTCCTGACAGCGAGGACAATCAACCAGTGGAACTGCTTGCTTTCAGAAATCGTGGGTGCCCCATCACTGGAGGTTTTTAAGAAGAGGCTAGCCCAGGGGTAGACAACCTTGGCTCTTTTATGGCTGGTGGACTTCAACTCCCAGAATTCCTGAGCCAGCTATGCTGAGGGGAAAGGGAGAGGTTTCCAAACTGAGCCATGCTGGCTCAGGAATTCTGGGAGTTGAAGTCCACCAGTCATAAAAGAGGCAATGTTGCCTAACCCTGGACTAGACAGTCACTTATCTGAAATGGTATAGATTCTCCTGCTTGAGCAGGGGGCTGGACTAGAAGACCTCCAAGGTTCTGTTCTGTTCTATTCTTTTTCTATTCTATTCTGTTCTGTTCTGTTCTGTTCTATTCTATTCTAATTCTAATTCTAATTCTATTCTATTCCTACTGTACTCTACTCCTACTCTACTCTATATTCTATTCTACTCTATTCTATTTCTACTCTACTCTATTCCTATTCTACTCTATTCCTACTCTACTCTATTCTATTCTTATTCTATTCCTATTCTACTCTGCTCTATACTCTATTCTAGTCCTACTCTACTCTGTTCTATTGCAAAGTCAAAATGGGAAACTGGATTTGCTTAGCGACCGCATGATTCACTTAACAACTGCCCTGATCTGCTGAACAGCCGTGGCCAAGAAGGTCATAAAATTGACTCAGTTACCAACCATCTTGCTTTCCAAGAGATATTCTGCCCTACTTATTTCTCTCAATGGGAGAATTCCGATTCTCCCCGCAGATTTCTTTTTCGGTACAACTTGCACGTAGTGCTGCCCTTCTCCTCTGCCCACCCCACCCCACCCTTTCTCTAGTGCAGGAGTGGGCCACCTCGGCTCTTTTATGACTCGTGGACTTCAACTCCCAGAATTCCTGAGCCAGCCATGCTGAAGGAAAAGGGAGAGGTTTCCAAGCTGAGCCAGGCTGGCTGAGGAATTCTGGGAGTTGAAGTCCACGAGTCATAAAAGAGCCAAGGTTGCCTACTCTGGCCTAGGCCGCTTTCTGACTCGTGGACTTCAACTCCCAGAATTCCTGAGCCGGCATGGCTCAGCATGTTAACCTCTCCATTTTTCCTCAGCATGGCTGGCTCAGGAATTCTGGGAGTTGAAGTCCACGAGGCTCTTATCCCGATAAGACAGATTCCGTTGAATTCAATTGCCTCACAACTTATTCCTATTTTTAAAAAAAATAAAATAGTTTTGTTTCTCTGCGCATTGCTGGACGGAAAATGATATCTTTGACTAAAAGTAACCCGAAGCGTTATTGGAATCAGATGAAAGAAAGCTCGTAATACGAAGCCTCAGATAGCGTGAACCTGGTTTAGGAGGAGAATTTAAAAAGTTGTGAGAAAAAAGTTGATAGCCATCAGTGGTGTTGAAACACCCTTTTGTTGGGAAGCTATGAGAAGGATGGCTGGCCAGTGGGCAGACTTGGCGTGCTCCCCTAAGAGATTATAACCTGAGATGAAAAACCTATTCCCAGTTGAAAAAAAGAGACATTTAGCTCAGTGGTCATTTCAACGCCATCACTCAGTCCAGGGGTAGGGCACTTTGGCTCTTTTATGACTGGTGGACTTCAACTCCCAGAATTCCTGAGCCAGCCATGCTGAGGAGAAAGGGAGAGGTTTCCAAGCTGAACCATGCTGGCTCAGGAATCCTGGGAGTTGAAGTCCCCGAGTCATAAAAGAGCCAAAGTTGCCTACTACTGATCTAGGCCAGGGGGAGGCAACCTTGGCTCTTTTATGACTCATGGACTTCAACTCCCAGAATTCCTGAGCCAGCATGGCTCAGCCTGGAAACCTCTCCCTTTCTCCTCAGCATGGCTGGCTCAGGAATTCTGGGAGTTGAAGTCCACCAGTCATAAAAGAGCCCAGGTTGCCTACCTCTGGCCTGGACCTAGGCCGCTTGATGACTGGCGGACTTCAACTCCCAGAATTCCTGAGCCAGCATGGCTCAGCTTGGAAACCTCTCCCTTTCTCCTCAGCATGGCTGGCTCAGGGATTCTGGGAGTTGAAGTCCAAGAGCCAAGGTTGTCGACCCCTGGCCTAGCGCTACAGCCGGGCTCTGGATCCACACTCACCCATCTGCTGCTTTGATCCCGTCCAACATGGAGCTGCCTCGACGGAGTTGGGGGCTCTTCTTCTTCCTGAAAGTCACGCCTGGGTGCAAGAGCTAAAAACCACATCAATAAGGAGGCAGTGTGGGGCAAGGGGCCACGTGATCTTTCTGTACAGGTAGTCCTCGACTTACAACCGTTCGCTTAGGGACAGTTTGTGTGTGAAGCGAAAGGCACTGAAAAAAAGCAACTTATTGACCAAGTCACTTTTTGTAGTAGGTCAATTTAGAGCCCTAGTGGCGCAGGGGTCAGAATGCGGCATTGCAGGCAAACTCTGCCCACTGTCAGGCGTTCGATCCTGACCGGCTCAAGGTTGACTCAGCCTTCCGTGGTCAGTAAAATGAGGACCCAGATTGTTGGGAGGGCAAGGTGCTGACTCTGTAAACCGCTTAGAGAGGGCTGTAAAGCACCATGAAGCAGTATATAAGTCTAAGTGCTATTGCCATTAACACTGATCAAGCTGGAGTTGCAAGGGGTTGGACTAGAAGACCTCCAAGGTCCCTTCCATCTCTGTTCTATTCTATTCTATTCTATTCTATTCTATTCTATTCTATTCTATTCTATTCTATTCTACTCTACTCTATCTACTCTATTCTATTCTTTCATTATTCCATTCCATTCCATTCCATTATTACTCTATTTTATTCCTATTTTATTCCTATTCTATTCTATTCTATTCTATTCTATTCTATTCTATTCTATTCTATTCCATTCCATTCCATTCCATACCATACCATACCATACCATAGTTTCAGGGTGCCTCTCCACACAATTACAAACTAAGTTTCTAAACTCATTATTTAGAAAAGGGACCAGCTAGGGCAGAACAGGAAGCCTAGGGCAGGGGTAGGCAACCTTGGCTCTTTTATGACTCGTGGACTTCAACTCCTAGAAATCCTGTGGATCCCTGTGGCATGATCCTAAAAACCTTTTTCCCCTCTTACCTCCCCCCCCCCTTACTAAGGATATTCCGTTAGTAAGTGGTGATGTACTAGGATGAGAAATAGAAAATGTCTATGAAATGAAATAAGAATATATTTAAGTAACTAATAGGTATACTTTAGATATTGTAATTTTTATGTAGTGAAACAAAGGAAATTTGGGTTACCCAAAATTTAAATACTATGGATATTAAAGGTTAAATTGGAATACTGTAATAATTAAAAATTAGGTAAAATTTAAACACAGGACATGGATATGTATAAGCATAAATATATAGATAAATCTTTTAACTGCGCTTGTTATAATTACAAATTTACTAGCTTAAATATGATATAGCAAATGTTAAGGGAAACAGAGAAGGAACTTTTTGATGATGTAACCTGAGACACGTACGAAAGATTTTGTTATTGTACTATTGACTACCCAATCACCACGCTGCTTTCTAAACACTTCAATGTTAAAACTGGAAAACCAATAACAACTCGTTATATAAAACCTTCCCCTTGAAAGCAGCCTCCAGCAACTTTGAACGCTGCCCGCCAAGCCTTGTGCAGGGCGCAAAAAAAAAAAAGAGCCTCCCCTCTCCGTCCCAGTTTACCTGATAGTTCGTCTCCGTTCCTTTTGGACTGACGGGACTTTGGGCTGTTTCTGGTCCAAGATCGCTCCAATAGCTGGTATCCTGGCTTTGGCTGCCACTCTTGGGTCTGTTTCCGGCCACTTGGTAAGACTGGATCACCAGGGGTCTGTATGCCTCCGGAACCCGGAACGGCGGTAGCACGTAACCCTCCTTTGGAGGAGCGACCGTCTTCCACTGCAGCGCTCGGTCGCCATTTAAGGGCACCTTAATATTTCTCAAGACGCTCTCCAGCTTCTCGTGGCAGCCCCGGGCGAGAATCCCGACGGGGGGCTGCTCCCTCGTCTGGGTCCCCCAAAAGAGCTGGCGAGGCTTGTCCCAGGTCTCCAGCATGCCCAGCTTGGTTTCGGTGCGGCAGAGGGAGTCCGTCGCTTGCTGGAGCAAAGTTTGACAAATCTTCAGATCGAGAACGCATTTGCCGAATCTGTACTCGAACTGGGACTGGACGTTCCCGCCTTTGCCCCGGGCGCTCCTGAGCACCTCGCTCATCACCGAGACGCCGTTCAGATCCTCCCGGCTGTAGTCCGTTTCGGTGTCCGAGGACAGGCTCGCCTCGCGCTCCTGGGTCTCGGCGAGTCGAGGGGAGATTTCAGCCCTATCGCCGGGAGAACTCTGCGATTCTCGTCGGGAATCGGGGTCCTGCTCGCTCTCCTCCTCATCCCCTTCCGTGCCTTCGCCCAGCTCTGGATAGCAAGTGTATATCTCGTTGATCTGCACGCTGGACAAGCTGAGGTTGGCGCTGCTGGCGTTTTCCGCATCGTTGAAACGTCCCTCCAACAGGGGTCTGGACTGCGCCGTGCGGAGAACCGGCTCGGACATCTGGATTTCGCCGTTCAAACATTCCTCTAACAAGGGGCTGGACTGCGCCGTACGCAGAACCGGCTCGGAGACCCGGACCGCGACAGGTTTGATCTCCGGTGAGGAAACGGCGCATCTGGTCACGGTGAAACTCCTGGCTGAGGAAGGAAGCGAGAATTGGGAATGGGAGGAAGTGCGTAAAGGAAAATTTGACTGACTTTCTCATTTGCTACCAATTTATTTTTTAATTTTACTTGTTTGTATCCTGCTTATTTTTACCAATTCAAGGCGGGGAGCACATATCCAACACACCTTCCCTCCTCCTATTTTCTTAACAATAATCCTGTGAGGTGGGTTGGGCTGAGAGAAAGAGAGGGACTGGCACAGTCACCCACAGCTGTCATGGTTAGTGGGACTAGAACTCACAGTCTCCTGGTGATTGGCCCAAAGTCACCCAGCAGGCTTTCAGGTCTAAGGCGGGACCAGAACTCAGATTCTCCTGGTGATTGGCCCAAAGTCATGCAGCTGGCTTGCAGGTCTAAGGCAGGACTAGAACTCAGCGTCTCCTGGTGATTGGCCCAAAGTCACCCAGCTGGCTTTCAGGTCTAAAGCAACCTCGCCAAGCAGCGATCTCACACACACACCCTGGGCTCTCGATATAACCAGCCTCTTGCCCCAAAGAGGACACGGACCTACGTGAGCCTTCTCGTCTTGCAATCTTGGCTTCTTCACCTCGGCAGCCGAGGCGGAAGGCAAACAGATATTGATATTGGGGTGAATTTCAGGCTTGGGAAACGCCGGTTGTTCTCCGGGACGGTGCTTGCGAGATTCAAGTAAATCCTGTAAAAAAAGAAAAGAAAAAGAAAAACAAAGAACCGGTTAACAGAACTCTTTGTCCCGTCTCAGCAGCAGCCTCTTCTTTAGCTTTAGGAAATGTCAAGGTAATGATTTAATAGCTAACCAGCTTATGTAATGTAAGATGTAATGAAGGGAATGACTTCAGCAGGATCCGTGTCCCTTTAAGAGCCAGCAGGGTCTATGTCCCTTTAAGAACCAACTAGGTCTGTATCTCTTTAAGAGCCTCTGTATAAAAGGGAGGCTCTGCTGATGTGTTCTCTTTTCTTCCATTTCCTGCTGTAACTGTGGTTTGCTGGATCCTGCTGTGTTAGCATGTGTAATACGTGTATATTGTCCCTGGTGTATGATATTGTAGATAGCGTAAGATAAACCACCATTTACTATAGACCATTGTTTACTGCCTTTATTTGTGGGTTATCTCACACTCTGACAGATTCTGGAGGCAGGTTGTTCCACTGGTTAATTATTCTCACTGTCAGGAACTTTCTCCCTAGTTTCACGCTGCTTCTGTTTGGTTAGTTCCAGCCGTTGCTTCTTGTCCTGCCTTCAGGCACTTTGGAGAATAGCTTGACTCCCTCTTCTTTGTGGCAGCCCCTGAGATATTGGAATACAGCTATTATGTCCCCCCTTGTCCTTCTCTTCATTAAACCAGACATACCCAATTCCAGCAACCGTTCCTTATATGTTTTAGCCACCAGACCTCTAAGCATCTTTGTTGCTCTTCTCTGTACTCTTTCTAGAGTCTCAACATCTTTTTTACATCGTGGCGACCAAAACTGGATGCCGTATTCCAAGTGTGGCCTTACTAAGGCCTTGTAAAGTGGTATTAATACTTCACGGGATCTTGATTCTATCCCTCTGTTAATGCAGCCTAGCACTGTGTTGGCTTTTTGGGCTGCTTGGAAGAGACCTTGGAGGTCATCTAGTCCAACCCCCTGCTCAGGTAAGACACCCTATACTATTTCAGACAAATGGCTGTCCAGTCTCGTCTTAAAAACTTCCAGTGTTGAAGCATTCACAACTTCTGGAAGCAGGTTGTTCCACTGGTTAATTGTTCTCACTGTCAAGAAGTTTCTCCTTAGCTCCAGGTTGCTTCTCTCCTTGGTCAGTTTCCCTCCGTTGCTTCTTGTCCTGCCTCCAGGCGCTTTGGAGAATAGCTTGACTCCCTCTTCTTTGGGGCAGCCCCCCCCAAATATTGGAACATTACTATCATGCCCCCCCAGTCCTTCTTTTCATTAAACTCTCCCACTTTACCTTCAAGTCGTTCCTTAGAACGTAACGTATGTCTTGCAAGTTCATTGAGCGTTGTTTGGGTCTGGACTCCAGGCCCGTCTTCACAATGTCGTAATAAGGCTTGGGCAGCCTGGCGTCAGCTTCCAGCCACTGGCCTGAGAGGATGCGATCTTTGATGGACAGACCGTCGAATCCCTCCCAAGGAACGGTGTCTGGAAAACACATATCCGGGAATGCACAGTGGGATGCGAGAAGGCACCAAAATTAAGACAAAATAAGGGCAGAATTTTTCAACCTCGGCTACTTGAAGAGGGCTGGACTTCAACTCCCAGAATTCCCCAGCCAGCGACTTTAATTTTGTGTCGCCCGGGCCCAGAATGGACTTCCGGAAGCAGCATCCATGCAGAGAACCGGTTGTTCACCTATTTGAATCCCACCACTGCATCCATGTCTGTCTGTCTGTCTGCGGTGGTGGGATTCAGCCAGTTCGCACCACTTCGGCAGAACCGGTAGTTAATTTGCCCAGGCCCAGAATGGACTTCCAGAAGCAGCATCCACACAGAGAACTGGTTGTTCACTTCTTTGAATCCCACTACTCCTTTACCCCTTTCTTCCTTCCTTCCTTCCTTCCTTCCTTCCTTCCTTCCTTCCTTCCTTCCTTCCTTCCTTCCCCTTCCTTCCTGTGGTGGGATTCAGCCGGTTCGCACCACTTCGGCAGAACCAGTAGTTATTTTTTTCCTTCCTTCCTTCCTTCCTTCCTTCCTTCCTTCCTTCCTTCCTTCCTTCCTTCCTTCTTTCTTTCCTTCCTTCCTGTGGTGGGATTCATCCGGTTTGCACCACTTCGGCAGAACCAGTAGCTAATTTTTTGTTGCCCAGGCCCAGAATGGATTTCCAGAAGCGGCATCCACACAGAGAACTGGTTGTTCACATATTTGAATCTCACTACTCCTTCCTTCCTTCCTTCCTTCCTTCCTTCCTTCCTCCCTCCCTCCCTCCCTCTCCTTCCTTCCTTCCTTCCTTCCTTCCTTCCTTCTTTCCTTCCTTCCTGTGGTGGGATTCAGCCGGTTCGCACCACTTCGGCAGAACCGATAGCTAATTTTTTGTTGCCCAGGCCCAGAATGGATTTCCAGAAGCGGCATCCACACAGAGAACTGGTTGTTCACATATTTGAATCTCACTACTCCTTCCTTCCTTCCTTCCTTCCTTCCTTCCTTCCTCCCTCCCTCCCTCCCTCTCCTTCCTTCCTTCCTTCCTTCCTTCCTTCCTTCCTTCTTTCCTTCCTTCCTGTGGTGGGATTCAGCCGGTTCGCACCACTTCGGCAGAACCGATAGCTAATTTTTTGTTGCCCGGGCCCAGAATGGACTTCCGGAAGCGGCATCCACACAGAGAACTGGTTGTTCACATATTTGAATCCCACTACTCCTTTACTCCTTCCTTCCTTCCTTCCTTCCTTCCTTCCTTCCTTCTTTCCTTCTTTCCTTCCTTCCTGTGGTGGGATTCAGCCGGTTCGCACCACTTCGGCAGAACCGGAAGCTAATTTTTTATTGCCTGGGCCCAGAATGGACTTCCAGAAGCAGCATCCACCCGGAGAACCAGTTGTTCACTTATTTGAATCTCACCGCTGAGCAGAGGTAGTGGGATTAAACACGTGTCCATCAGCTGACAAAACAGTTAAAAATTAAAACATAAATTTAAAAAATAAATAAATTAAGTGATTAAAAAGAAAACCACAACCCACCCACCCCAAAAAACCTCAAAGGGCAGACTTGATGGACTAAAAAAATTTTTTTAAATTAAAAAATTAAAAATAATAACCAAGAAATATTAAGAAAACAAAAACAAAGCCCCCCCTGAAAGGACTGACTCAATGGACCAAAAATAAAAAAATAATTAAAAATAATAACAATTAAATAAATAAATGAAGGAGAAAACAAAGCAGAACAAAAGAAACCTCGAAGGACAGATTCAACGGACCAATAATCATAATAAATAATAATAATAAACAAAAATTACAAAGCTCAAAGGACAGACTTGATAGAACAACAACAATAATAATAAATAAAGAACAAAAAATAAAAAACCTCAAAGGACAGACTCGATGGACTAATAATAATAATAAAGAAAGAAGAAAAAACAAACGTCAAAGGACAGACTTGATGCACTGATAATAATTAATGAAAAACAAAAATTTTAAAAAACTTCAAAGGATTGATTTGATGGGTTAATAATAATTAATAATAATTAATTAATTAATAACAAAAAATATAAAAAACCTCAAAGGAGAGACTTGATGGACTGGTAATAATTAATAAGAAAGAAAGAAAGAAAGAAAGAAAGAAAGAAAGAAAGAAAGAAAGAAAGAAAGAAAGAAAGAAAGAAAGAAAGAAAGAAAGAAAAAACCCTCAAAGGACAGACTCGATGGACTAATAATAATAATTAATAAAGAAAAAAGAAAAAAACAAACCTCAAAGGACAGACTCGATGGACTAATGATAATAATAATTAATGGAGAAAGAACAAAAATTTAAAAAACTTCAAAGGATTGATTTGATGGACTAATAATAATAATTAATATTAATTAATTAAGAACAAAAAATATAAAAAAACCTCAAAGGAGAGACTTGATGGACTAGTAATAATTAATAACAATAAATAAAGAAATAAAGAACAAAAAATACAAAAAAACCCTCAAAGGACAGACTTGACGGACCACCAGGTCCTTTTGTGTTGTCACTTTTCTGCGTTTCTAAGACAACCTTTAGCCTTAAAACACCAAAGAAATGAAAAACCCAGGAGGATGAGAAATACATTCGACATGCTAGACTTTGCTGCACCTGTGAACGCTTCCTGCATGACGGCGCAAAAGCTGTAGACGTCCGACTTGAAAGTCGCCGTCCGGTCAAGGATCACCTCCGGGGCGCACCACTTGTAGAGCTGGGGAGGGATCGGCACCCGGGTCAGGTCGCTGTGCTCCCCTCCGTCTTTGCTGTCGACAAGGGAAGAGGCTCAGGGTTGGGGGAGGACAGGTGCCCCCCCCCTCTGGGCAGCCCACGGTCCTTTTGAGACCTCTCACATCCTGGGGGTTGGAGGTGGGTGACCACGTGGCGGTGTGAGGGAAAGACCTTGAGAAACCGAGTCGAGAGACGAGGGCAAAGGAACGTTCAGGTAAGAGACAGCCCAGCCCTCGGCTGCACCACGGACAGAGAGAAAGGAGACTGAGAAGGGATCCTTCCCTGGTTCCTCAGGATGCAAAAGAGACGGTGGGAGATTTGTACTTTCAGACTTACAAGACTGAGGTTGGCGCCACGCTGGGTGAACCACGTTGGAATTGCAACTGGATCGGCTAATTCTAGTTTATTGCAAAGCTACATTGTCGGAATCTGGGAGAGGAGAGGAGAAGAGAGCGGGGAGGAGAGGGAGCGAGAGGAGAAAGGAGAAGGGAGGAGAGGGGAAAAGAGAGGGGAGGGGAGAGGGGAGGAGAGGAGAGGGGAAAGAGGAGAGGGGAAGGAAAGGGAAAAAGAATGGAGGGAATAGAGGGGAGAGGAGGGGAGGGGAGGAGAAGGGAGAGTGGAAAAGAAAAAGAACGGGAGAGGAGGGGGGATAAAGGAGCAGAGGAGGGGAGGGGAAATGAGGGGAAGGGGAGGAGGGGAAAAGAGAGGGGAGGGAATAGAGGGGAAAGGAGAGGGGAGAAGGGAGGAGAGGGGAAGGGAAGAGAGAGGAGAGAGAAAATGAGAGGGGAAAGGGGAGCAGAGGAGAGGGAAGGGGAAAGAGGAGAGGGAAATTGAAAGAGGATAGAAAAGGAAGGGAGGGAGGAGAGGAGGGGAGAGGGAAGGGGAGAAAAATTGAAAAATGATAGAAGGAAAGGGGAGGGGAAAGGAGAGGGGAGGGGAGGGGAAAGGAGATGAGAGGGGAGGGGAGAGGAGAGGGACATTGAAAAAGGACAGAAAAGGGAAGGGGAGGGAAAAGGAGATGGGGGAGAGGAGGGAATTTGAAAGGATAGAAAAGGAAAGGGGAGGGGAGGGGAAAGGGGAGGGGAGGGGAGAGAAAAGGAGGAGAGGAGAGGGGAGGGGAGGAGAGGGAAAAGGAGAGGAAAGGGGAGGGGAAGGGAAGGAGAGGGGAGGGGAAAAGGAGGGGAGAGGAAAGGAGAGGGGGAGAGGGCATTTGAAAGGATAGAAAAGGGAGGGGAAAGAGGGAGGGGAAAGGAGAGGGGAGGAGAGGAGAGGGAGGGGAGGGGAGGGGGAGGAGAGGGAAAAGGAAAGGGGAGGGGAGGGAGAGGGGAGGGGAAAGAGGAGGGGAGAGGAAAGGGGAGGGGAAGGGAGGGGAAAAGAGGGGAGGTAAGGAGAGGTGGATCTACCTTTCAATCATGTGCTCCAGGTTGGTCAGCTTCGCTTCCCCCGTGAGCACAATCACCACGGCGTAGGAGCTGAGGGTCCGGTGGATGAACCCGCGCAGGTGGAGGTATCGGAGGGCGTCGCTCACCTGGATCAGCAGGTGCACAATCGTTTCCATGTGCAACACCGGGAACTCGGAGCGCTACAGCGGCCGAAGGAAAAGGCCGAGAGGGAGGAAGGGAAAGGAAACGGCTGCCTCCAAGACTTCGGAAACCCCCCCCCTCAAAAACTCCGGGGAGGGAAGGGTGGAGGAGACAGCGCAGTTATGTAGCGAGTGCAAAGAGAAATTAATATAAAACGTTTTGCATTTTGTATTATTTTATTTACACAGTTTTATCTTTTTTAACACGGTTAGCCATCCGGCCTTACCCTGCGGTAAGATGGGTGACCAATAAACTTAATAAATAATGGTAATACAGGTAGTCCTCGAGTTACGAGTGTAACATAGCCTGCACGTCCCATTCGTAACTGAAAAACTCGTGAAGTGAATCTCGGTCGAATCCGGGCGTCAGAAGCCTTTTCCAGGCCGCTCCCGCCCAGATCTGAGGCCGGGGAACGCTTCCGCAGCCCTCCGGAGGCCCGTTTCCAGGCGTCAGCAGCCTGGAGGAAGCCTCCGACGCCCCAATCCAGCCTCCGGAGGCACACAGAAGCGTCCCCCGGCTTTGATTCCGTTCTCTGTTGCAGGAAACAGAGGCCTAAAGTACCACACAAGATCAGTAGCATGAGATCTCGTCCCACTAATCTCGCGTGATCTTGTCTTCCTTTAGGCCTCCGTTCTCTGCAAACGCATCGAAGGCCTGGAGCAGCCAAGAAAGGGAAGGATCTCGATCTTCGCAGGGCGGGTACCGAAGGCCTGGGGAGACCCGGGGTGGGGATGGGGAGGGAGGGAGGGACTAACCCGGGTGAACGTTGCAGTGCCTCTGCGGTCGCTCGTAAGGGCGAACGACTGCCGTGGTGCCGGAATATTCGTAATTTTGGGACTTGCTCGTAAGCACTAGGGGGCGCTCATCGCATAACTTCTAACGAGCATTAAGTGAACGCTCGCGACTCGGGGATTACCTGTACTAAAAACACCTATCTAAGGGACTCTCTTCTGCAGATAGAATCGGTCTGCAGTGTCTAATGTGGGCAGGAGAGGGTGCTGCCCTTCCGCTCACAGAACGCCCCAGCCAACACGCTCTATGATGAGTGGACTTCAACTCCCAGAATTCTCCAGCCAGCATAGCTGGCTCACTTCAGCCAGCATAGCTGGCTCAGGAATTCTCGGAGTTGAAGTCCATAGGTCTTAAAGGGACCCTAGTTTCCCTCCCTGGTCTGGATACAGGCAGAAGCAACGCACCTTTAAATCTGGGCCCTGCCGTTTACCACACTGGCCTACCTTGCAAGGTTGTTCAAAGAGAGAGAAGGTGAGAGAGTGAGGAGAGGGAGAAAGAGAGGAAGAGGGAGAGAGGGAAAGAGAAAGAAAGAGAGGGAGGGGGAGGGGGAGAGAAAGAGGGAGGAGAGAAAAAGGGAGGGGAGAGAGAGGGAGGGAGGAGAGAGAGGGGGAGAGAGGAGAGGAAGAGGAGGGAGAGAGAGGGGGGAGAGAGGGAGAGGAAGAGAGAGAGGAGAGAGGGGGGAGGGGGGGGAGAGAGAGGGAGGGGGGAGAGATGAGGAGGAGAGAGGGAGGGAGGGGGAGAGAGGGAGAGAGGAAGAGAGAGAGGGGGGAGAGAGGGAGAGAGAGAGGAGAGGGGGAGGGAGAGGGGGAGAGGGAGGAGAGGGGGAGAGAGAGGGAGGGGAGAGAGGGGAGAGAGAGGGGAAGAGAGGAAGAGGGAGGAGAGAAAAAGGAGAGGGGGGAGAGAGGGAGGAGGAGGAGAGAGGGGGAGGAGGAGAGAGAGGAGAGAGAGGGGGGAGAGAGGAGAGGAAGAGAGAGGAGAGAGGGGGGAGGGGGGAGAGAGGATGAGATGAGAAGAGAGGGAGGGAGGGGGAGGAGAGGGAGAGAGGGAGGGGGAGAGAGGGAGGGAGGGAGGGAGGGAGAGAGGGGGGGAGAGAGGGAGAGAGAAAGGGAGGGAGGGAGAGGGGGAGAGAGGGAGGGAGAGGGGGAGAGAGAGGGGGGAGGGAGAGGGGGAGAGAGAGGAAGAGAGAGGGGGGAGAGAGAGGGGGGAGAGAGGGAGAGAGGGAGGAGAGAGAGGAGAGGAGGGAGAGAGAGGGGGAGAGAGAGGGAGGGGGAGAGGAAGAGGGAGAGAGAGAGAGGGAGGGAAAGGGAGAGGAAGAGGGAGAGGGGGAGAGGAAGAGGGAGAGAGGGAGGGAGAGAAAGGGAGAGGGGGGAAAGAAAAGGAGAGGGAGAAAGGGAGAGAGGAGGAGGGATAGGGAGAGAGAGAGGGAAAAGGAGAGAGGGAGAGAAAGGGGGAGAGAAGGAGAGAGGGAGGGGGCATTTTCAGCTCAGCAGCCTCCAGAGGTAGAAAGACACAAGAGAGACCCCTGAAAGAGCTCTTCTTCAGAAGACACAAACTTTATACCCTCTCGTGAAGGATGCTGTAGAGAGATCCAAAATTCACCCTCTCGAACACCAGCCGGGTCTTCTCCAAGTCGCTGGACAGACAGACCGCCATCAGCAGCAGCAAGTGAGGGTGGTGGAGCTGGCTGCAAAGCAGAAGGCAGGACCGCCTTTGCAGAGGACCCACAACCGAAAAGGGAACAACTCGGGTCCATTTCTAACTCCCTTTTGGGGCCCTGCAAACCCCACACCCTGAATGCACAATACTTTATTTTCTATTTATTACTAACCCTACGATATCTTACACTATATCTACGGTTAACATCGAGGTCTAGAGCCATTTTGAGAGGGGTGGACTTCAATTCCCAGAATTCCCCAGCTGGCATGCTTTAAGACGGGTGGACTTCCACTCCCAGAATTCCCCAGCCAGCATGCTTTAAGATGTGTGGACTTCATTTCCCAGAATTCCCCAGCCAGCATGCTTTAAGATGTGTGGGTTTCCAGTCCCAGAATTCCCCAGCCAGCCTGCTTTAAGAAGAGTGGACTTCATTTCCCAGAATTCCCCAGCCAGCATGCTTTAAGAGAGGTGGGTTTCCAGTCCCAGAATTCCCCAGCCAGCCTGCTTTAAAATGGGGGGACTTCCACTCCCAGAATTCCCCAACCAGCCTGCTTTAAGAGTGGACTTCATTTCCCAGAATTCCCCAGCCAGCATTCTTTAAGAGGGGTGGGTTTCCAGTCCCAGAATTCCCCAGCCAGCTTGCTTTAAGATGGGTGGCCTTACACACACACACACACACACACACACACACACACACACACACTGCACACCTGCTGTACTCCTGCTCAGCCAAGAGGAGGTCGGAGAGCCGCAGTTTGCTTGAATGCTGGTGAGGCTGCATGTTCAGCTCCTTCACCGTCACGCGGCTGCCTCCCCACATCAGGCTGTGGGGAGAAAAGGGGGGGGAGGTCTGGTCGGTTTGCCCCCCCCCAGTCCCTTGCCCCACAGGTGCCGGGGACGCCTCGCGGGAGGGAGAAGTGGCAGAGTGGGCTACGGTGGAAGAAACTGGGTTAGATTAGGACGGGGGGGGGTAGCACAACGACAATCCTGCGAGGTAGGGAGGTAGACTGGACGGTGAGTGGAGGCTGGGTCTTGCTGGGCACAGGCCAGCGCGGACGAGGAAGGCGCCAGGCCCTGGCCTGGCATGAGGGCCAGGGCGAATCCCTGCTCCGAAGGTCACGTGAGCGGCGTCCTCCGGGACACTTACTTGGTCATGTTCATGTAGGGCCCGGTGGAGAACGAGACGGTGGGCTCGTCATCGGCCTGGACCACTTCTCTGTCCGCGATGATGGGGAGGGAGGCCAGGTAGCCCAGCTGCCTCTTACTGGTGAGAAAAAACTGGAGGGAGGGAGGGAGGGAGAAGGAAGGGAAAAGAGAGTGAGAAAGGGAAGGAGAAAAGGAAAGAAGCAGGTGGAGGAAGGGAAGGAAACGAAAGGGGAAGGAAAGGGTTAGGGAAAGGAAAGGAAAGGAAAGGAAAGGAAAGGAAAGGAAAGGAAAGGAAGAGGGAAGGGAAGAGGGAAGGGAAGGAAATGGGAAAGGGGAAGGGAAGGGTTAGGGAAGGGAAGGAAAGGGGAAAGGGGAAGGGTAGAGAAGGGAAGTGTAAGGAAAAGGAAGAGGGAAATGAAGAGGGAAGGGAAGGGAAAGAGAAGGAAAAAAGGAGGGAGGGAGGATAAAAGAGGGAAAAAGAAGAAAGGAAGGATAAAAGAGGAAGGGAAGGGAAGGAAAAGTGAATGGATGGATGAAACAAAAAGGTAGGAGAATGGAGAAAGGTAGGAAGGAGAGTAAGGGATGAAAGGAAGGAAAGAAACGAAATGGAGAAAGGAAGAAAGAGGGAAGGAAGGAGAGTGAGAAAAGTAGGGAAGGAAGGATGAGAAAGGGATAGAAGATAAGAGAAGAAGAGAAGATAGGAAGAAAAAGAAAGAAAGAAAGAAAGAAAGAAAGAAAGAAAGAAAGAAAGAAAGAAAGAGACAATGAGGGAGGGAGGGAGGGAGGGAGGGAGGGAGGGAGGGAGGGAGGAAGGAAGGAAGGAAGGAAGAAAGGAAGGAAGGAAAGCAAACAGGGAAAGAAGGAAGATTAGAGAAAAACTGGAAATAGCATCCAGCATCCAGAGATGGGTTTTAACAGCCCTCAAGAGTCCCAAAGGTTTCATATGGAGGAATATGAATATCTATACAAGAAGTCCTCAACTTAGCACCACAATTGAGACCAAAGCTTCTGTCACTAACCAAGACACTAAGAGAATTGAACGTGATTTTATGACCCTTTTGCTGCAGTCGTTATTTTCATTGAGCATGTTTTAGTTTTTAAAATGATTTTCTTAGGAGACGCCCAGAGTTGTCCTAAAACAGTGGTTCTCAACCTTTTTAATGCTGCGACCCCCCAACCGGTCGTAAGTCGAGGACTACTCAACCGGTCGTAAGTCGAGGACTACTCCACTGGTGCAGCACCGTTTGCAGACTGGGACTTTTGGCGGGCTCAGCAGGGCAGAGACAGCCTGGACAATTCCTATTGGCTTTGGAAAGCCAATAGAATTAGACTCTATTCAAGAGAGTCTATTCTATTGGCTTTCAAAAGCCAATAGAATAAAAGGGAGTAGCACAGTAAGGAAAAGGGGGAAAAATGGCGGACTGCGTTGTTTGGCGACCCCCGTGAAATGGTCGTTCGACCCCCAAATGGGGTCCCGACCCACAGGTTGAGAACCACTGTCCTAAAGACACATGGCTATATAAAATGTTATAAATAAAAAAAATCAGGAAAAGATTTCAGCGGTCATCACAGGAACATCTGACCTCTTACCAGATAGCCTCTCTGCGAAGACCTCCCAAAAAAAACCCCTCAAAAAATGTGCCGCTTCACATCATGTGGCAGTCTGTTCCACTGGCTAACAGCTTGTAATTTCAGGAGATTCTCTTTTGAGAGCCACCAAAACCCACTTCCTGGGACTTTCACAGCCACCCATCGTCTTGGGCGGTATCCCCAGAACCCGCATGGGACATCTGACCCTGTGTGTTTGTGTGTTGTGCGTACACACTCTGGACGAACAGGGAGAGCTTCCAGGCTCTCGGCCATCTTAAACTTGACATCTTACCTTCCCAAAACCAAAACTGAAGATGCTTTGCGACATGCTGCTCCCACGTTTCATGAACCGCCCTAAAGGGCTATCAGCAGCCCTGAAGCACAAGATGGAGAATTTTCAGGGGGATTTTGGGAAATGAGATGGAGCAACAACAAACGAGACAGTTTTGTGTTTCCCTAGCAAAATTATTATTTCTAAAAAATAGACAAACATACTTATTTTCTATCTATTACTAACCTTATGATATCTTACACTATATCTATGCTAACGTCTATGTCTAGAGCCATCTTAAGGTGGGTGGACTTCCACTCCCAGAATCCCCCAGCCAGCATGTTTTAAGATGGGTGGACTTCCACTCCCAGAATTCCCCAGCCAGCCTGCTTTAAGATGGGTGGACTTCCACTCCCAGAATTCCCCAGCCTGCATGCTTTAAGAGGGGTGGACTTCCACTCCCAGAATTCCCCAGCCAGAAGGTTTTAAGATGGACTTCCACTCCCAGAATTCCCCAGCCAGGTTTTAAGATGGACTTCCACTCCCAGAATTCCCCAGCCAGAAGGTTTTAAGATGAATAGACTTCCACTCCCAGAATTCCCCGGCCAGAAGACTTTAAGATGGACTTCCACTCCCAGAATTCCCCAGCCAGCATGCTTTAAGGTGGCTGGACCTCAATTCCCAGAATCCACTAGCCAGCATAGGGATTTTCCCCACCAGAGAAGCAGCCTGCAGGAAGGCAGGGCTTGGAAATCTCCTCCACCAAGGACTGCTGGCTTATTATGGGATAGCACAAGCACAGACGCCCTCTGACTTACCCTTGGGTGAACCCCCCAAACTTGGAGGGGCTGTGGACCAGGGCTCGGGGGGAGTCCACTTTCCTCAGTAAATCCAAGGACTGATTCTGCAGGATGACTTGCATGTGCGTTGTGCAGCGCTGG